TTCTTGGTAAAAAAAAAAGAATACAATAAGATAAGCTGGGCTGATTTATCAGTGCAATGCTGCACAACTCAATCGATAAAGTAATCGAATGTTGTATTTAGGCTCTTTAGCGTACTCCACATCTGCTTGAAGTGTACTTCTGATACGCGAGTTTTCAATACTTTGCTAGTTTAAGTAAATTTATTTTGTATGCATGTAATCGCAGTCAAAAGATACTTAGAGTATAACACAACAGTATTTACGATTTCCAGCATATTTTAAGTGTATTGTGCACATATCTTTGATGGCTGCATTTTTATTAAGGCTGGAGTATATTTTGCATGAATTAAATTGGTGTTTCCATAAATCTATGTGAAAAATATTTTATGCCTACTAATTTAGTATTTACATATTTCAGAATGCATAAAGAGTACTTCACATTTTGTTTAAATAAAGGTATTTTGATAAGATTTTCAGAAATATATTTTAGTACTAAGTGAAAAAAAAAGAATTTTATATATTCGGCATATTGTTTATATGCTTACAAATATTAACTGTACTTGAAATTCACTAAAATTAGAATGTGGTATATTTCAAACGTCTTAGTTTTCGCTAACGGTTGCTTTGTTATCAGGAGCGCCCTGCCATCAATTATGTGGTTCGGATGATTGTTTTGTGCTTGTTCCTTATTGAAACGTATGCTGTGCTGTATGCTGTATGTTGTATCCGTGATATGCACTTTCGCTTCAATCGCTGAACGTTTTGTTGTTGTTGTTGTTGTTGTTGTTTTTGCGAGGACGCTGACACGATGAAATTCTGGAAATCCGACCTACGAGTCATACACAGCGTCGGTGTAAAACATCGGCTAACTCTTGACCGGTTAAGTGAACTTCTTTATACTGGAACGTTTCGATTGCAGTTGAAGCTATAACACTGTAATGAATTAGCTATTGTCGGTTACAAGTCAAGAAGGTAGGAGAAGCTCCTCCCACAAGTGTGATGCGCCCGTTTCAAATCTCTCCGCAGTCGAAAGAAGAGTTCACTGGAAACGCTCCTTGTTCCGCTTCAATGGATTCCCACTTGTCTCCGATCCCACTTTGTACGAAAGCGACCTTTGTATTCATCGGAGAGGGAACCGAGCCCCTGAAAGCAGCCTTTGTATCCATCGGGGGGGAAGCTAATCCCCGAAAGTCGTATTTGTTTCCGACGGTGGGGGAGAACTCTAATCTCCCTCTCGTGGCTTCCACAGTGCTAAGTCAAAGTCGCAAGATAAAGCAAATATGTACAGAAAGGCAAGACCTTCCTCGCGCGTTGTCCGCGACGTCACGGAAACGGTGGGACGCTATTGGATGCAAAGGTGGCGGAGGGATATCTGATTCTCTTTGAGGGGCATTTGCCGCTACCTTCTTAACCTGTAACTGACTATATGTGTTTCTAGAGTAATACCCGTGCCAAACGGGCAACTCGAATGCCATTTACAACGAATGACATTTGAGCGGACGGCCAATGAGCGCGCGACACTCCGGGCGTGGTGCATTCCACGGGCGCTGATTGCAAACTGATTCGCCGATCACACAAATGTCATTCGTTGTAAATGGCATTCGAGTTGCCCGTGTGGCACGGGTATAACTGTATGGTGCCAGAGTATCGCATTCGATACCGTCCACTGTTACTGTTTAATTTTAGCTCTGATCGGCCATTTTAGCGCCAAAACGTCAACAGTCGAAGGGGTTCCAGGCCTGCCAGTCTCCCACGCGGACGCGCCGCGAATTACGACAGAAGTTAGGACGCGCCAAGGTCTGGACGCGATACTTCTAATCTCCGGTGAGATTTGGCTGTATATAAACAATATTAATTTTGCCGCCATACCGCGTAAACAAAACTTTTACGAAAACATCACGCTCCTGTCATTCTGTACAAGTATCCAATAAGACTTCATAAAAGAATAGTTTTTTTTTTCAGTTTCTTTTACGCAAAACATACCTTTCTAAACGTTCATCCTGGCCACAGTAAATAAAAAAAATTCAACCGCCATCTTGGCTCCTTGAGCCTGGGCGATTCGGTACTCTGTGAATCGATATAGTAACCTTATATGTTTCTACATAACGTAACTGAGACCATACGCCGCCGAAAAAAAGGAGGAATAGGAATACATGTTCTTATTTTTTAGCTCTTTATGTAGGTTGTTACGATAAGACTTAAAATTATTGTGGGCATCTGAATCGCGGCTTTTTATACATTTTTATATAGTACATCTTTGGTTTTAATTTTTTTAACCAAGTCCATGGATATCCACGGCTTTCAATTTTTTTCTAAAACATTTTTGTAGATATATTTGAAGAGTTATGTTTATACGATTCAAGAATCAATTCTATAAATGCGTTATAAGTGTCGTCGGCGGTACTTTGCATAAGAATTATGCTCCAATTTTTAGTTTCGATGTCCCGTCTAAAAGCATCGAGGCTATTAATGTTTATATCTTGAACAATCATTGAATGATGTTTAATTGTTTTTATGGGTACAATGTACCACATACATAAAAATATTGCAAGACGGTCACTTGGGTCACATCTAATTACACCGCACTTTGCTTTATCTACGTGAAAATTGGAAAGAAATGAATCTGAAACAGTGGTTGAGTGTATGGTGATTCTAGTTGTATTGGCGATCCTGCTGATACATTCATTCATACACATAATGCTCTGCATTTGTCTGCTGGCGGTGCTCCCCGAAAACATATTTATATTCAAATGTCTCCCTGACATAACATTATAGTTATTTTCATAAATGAATGACAAAAAAAAACGCGTCGAAAAATTGAAAGAACGCCAAGATGTTGCCATCTGAAGGGCGATAAAGAACAGAAAAAAAGGTTTGATTACTTCGCAAGCAGAATTCTTCCACATCTTTCGTGATAAGACAATAATCACTCAGAAATTCGTAGTCAGGGCCTTCTCTAATCAAAAAAAGTGATCCTTATCCGCGATCAAAAGTGCAATTTAAGACACGTGTGTTATATAATGGTAAACGTCAAACATCAGAATTATGAGTGTACCCAGTCTCGGAGAGCATAACGACGTCAAGAAGTATATCAAACTGGTTAAAAGGCAATTCGAGGTTGGTCTTCTTATTTACGGCTGACTGCATTTAAATAAAAACATAATATATGTGAACCGCTTTTTTGTTCAAGGCGACATGCAAGCTCATTTTGAAAGTATTGGATCGTTCTCCACTGAGAGAAAAAAACATTCTAAAACGGAAATAAAATGACGCATTATCTACTCAATGTGCCACCCAGGACAGCTTCGCTCTTCACGACAATTCCTCGGTCACCATTTTGCCTGCGTACTAGAATACTACCATTCCAATGCCACACGTAACAAATTTATCCCTTCTAGCCCACTCTTTTGTGACTCAAAAGAACGTCCGATTCTGTTTCGTTATGTTTTTCATGACGAACACATCAGGCTTGGCTTCCAATAGCTTCTTTTTGTTTTGCAGCCACTGGTCTTTCGTGGTCTGCCTGGCGAAACGGATGGCGAAACGAAGCCCTCTATCGAGTTTCGAGGGGAATATCAGTACAGCTATGGCTTTGTGCTCTGCTGGGGGTGCACGCTGCAGTCTGGATGCAACCTGGTTAAGCTTTCCAAACAAGTTCGCTTTGTCGTCACTTTTAGTAATGCAATGCACTTCGGGGTGTAGCTTCTTTAATTGCCACTCTAGTTTGTTGATTTCAGTTCTTAGTTGTTCAATGTAATGAGCCGGGTTCCCCTTTTCCACAGAGTCAATGCGTTTCCCCAACTTTTGAATCGCTTGATCATACCGAATTGGGTTTTTAAGAACAGTATCATATTTGTCGAAAACATCTCACACTTTTTTTTTGTAACGGTGTTAGGTTGTCAAGCTTGCGGTCTGTATTCGCAAGCAGGATTGCAATGTTAGGTTCAGATTTTGATTTGGCGACCTGACTACCCTTTACGTTTCGAGATTTGGAACGTGGGCACCACCATGTCTTCTTGTAACCTGGGGCAGGTAGGGGATTCCCAAACAATGGCATTTGAGTGAAAAAGGCGCAGGTCTCGTTTTCTATGTGGTATTTGGTCAAGACGCTGCGAGTAAAGGCCTAAGCGGGGAGTCATAACGCTGAGGCTGTCATTTGTGTAGCGGCCAGGACCGATTAGCGATCCTCCTTTAGGTGCGCTCTCAAGTATGCATTATTGAAGCTATTAGTTTCGCCTCTCTAGCCGAGCGATCTGTTTTGGAAAGAATATGTACCCTAAGTGATATACGTCATTGAATGTTTGAACTTCTAAAGTCGCGCGCCATAGCAATAATAATATTAATTTCTTGCCTCTTTTTGTTTGTTGATAATTATTACTTTTACTGTTAGCCTCTTCTCTTAAGCAGGGCTGTTCATCCGGTCGTACAAACGTTCTTAGGAGCTATTGACCTCTGCCTAAAACAAGAGCCGGAAGTTAATTTCAAAGCAGCTGCGTACCGGGAGAGAGTTCTGTGTATAAACATACATGACTAAAAAGCTTTCTGAAAGTACAAAGGTCAACATCCCATTAAATTTAGTTTTTGGGAACGGTGATATTTGTACATGTAAAATCGCGCTAAAATATTCAAAATAATGCCGCATGATCGAGTAAAAGAAACAATTGTTATTAATTCATGTGCACTCTAACTGTAATGTATGTGATGTACACTTCAAGAAATATTATGTACACCTTAATAAATCATACATTTACTGTTACTAAATAAACTAATGTTACGACGACCCGGAGCACATTTATAAATATTTTTTTTAATACAATGAGATTTTATGGGGGGTTGTTGTTGCTGGGTTTTAGTCATTTCAACTACGACGTGACGACAGTATGAGTGTGTTTCAAGCCACTCCCACCATTATTTCGTCCACCTGTGTCCAAACTTCCAAGAAGTGAATATAAAATGCCGTTCGCGCAGCAGCTTCCAGAAGATAGAGGGAATAGCTACGTTTGCGTCGTTCTTCCGAAATCATGAAAATTATTTTTATTTTCATTTTCGTGCTGGCCTGGGAAAATGTCCTGTGTAGTTCTGAAGGAGGCTTCAATATTACTGTGCTGCATACAAACGACATTCACTCGCGTTTTTTGGAAGCCAACAAAAGAGGTGGAAAATGCTCTGATAAGGACAAGTACGAAGACGGTTGTTATGGTGGAGTCGCCAGACTGGTTACCAAGGTGAGGCGTTTTCCTCTTTTACGAGATTCCTCGCTACGCTCAATTCAATTCAATTAAATGTTCATTTACTATTCTTTCACAATGGTGGGAGCAGGAGAAAAAGCCGCATGGACGGCTTAACGGGTTTTTAATTCCAACCGACATGTTGTTCAAATCGCTTATAGGGTTGAAAAGTTTACAAAAACTAGCCATCAGGTAATTTCAGGATCAGGTTATGAAATATAACTCGAAACGACCCGTATTTCACATTGGTATGATCCGACTATAGGCTAGATAAAAAATCGAATTCGACATGCATCTGAAGAAAAACTAAAACTTTATGCAATAAATTCATTTTGAGATGAAGTCGTACAATGAGATAGAAACTAATTTTCTTCTACAGTAGATTATACCAGCAAATACTTCTTTAAACCGAACATCACAATCATAGAGCAAGACAAAAACTGTTTAACTATTCATAACGCCCTTTGTCTCTTTAACGGCGATACATGCTCATGTGACAAATACCAGATAAACTACGGATTCGTTGTCGTCTTTTTTCCTTTAATATGGCATAACATTATCTTGCAAAGTATGCTACTTCCCGTGGCGACATAGCATCGTTGACTCAATCTGTATTAATCCGCGCCATTAGGTACAGCTCTCGCTCACTCTAGTGGTAGGTATTCACGTGCAGGTAGCTGACGTCTGTCAAAGCAAATGAAACACATAACTCTATTGTAGTAATAACTACTTTCACAATTTACTTGATTTATTCAGCAGAAACATCTATTTTGTTTTTTTTAGGTTTGCGATTTTTGGAGTTAAATTGAAATATCTATGCTAAGGTTCGTGACATGTGAAACGGCTTATGAAATGTTTTAAAGCTTTTTCTAAATTTCAACCTCTCATATGCGCGGATTATTCACAGTAACATGAACCTTATTAAAAAACAAAACTAAACTAACTACAAGATTGTTCTTAAAATACACACTGACTGCAGAAACATACTCTAGGTGAGGGATGAGCAATTAAATATGTAACCCGGTTGATCTGGACCCTTTAGTCGAATGATCAATCGATGAATCGGCCGCGTTAATTTTCAGCCATAGTGGCGCCAAAACGGCAAGATCATATTTTGCATGAATTTTTTTTTGTGTAATAAACGCCGCATTGTGCATTTTTAGCTGAGGATAAACATGTGCCGTTGAGTAGAATCGAAAGATACTCAGAGAATATTATTCTACCAAAGGAGGCATAGCGGAAGGAGTGTTCTAGTATTCTTTGGCATGAGAGAGTTTCTTGCTTCTTCACAATCACCCTTGCTGCACTAGGCATGTGTTTGAGAAACCTTGAACCAGGAAAGCATATTTTTTTTTTTCAACCGGCACTACATCAATATCGGGCAAGTATGGTGATCGCCACTGCAGTTCGCCGTTCATGTCGACTGTGCAACGATACAGAGACACATTTATGCTTTTATGTTGGCCAGTCGACACTGTGGCCCATCGTCACTGAGTGGCCTGACGCGCACTGGCCGATTTGGAAAGTTTGCTGTTTTTAGAGGATGGACAATGTCGGCAGTACCGACCTCAACGAAGGGGTATGAGGAATATGATTCCAATTCTCGCATTTAGCCCCTCCGGGTAACAGTCGTCGCCAAATATGCGATGAAAGAACCCTAAGCTCCGACAGGTATGCCCCTGACTGCGTTCGCAGGCATAATAACGAAAGTGATGCTGCAGGGCTTTGTCTTTTTTGGAAAATCTCTGTCTGCCAGGAACCTGCTGTCTTGGAAGAGCGCCCGCTTTCCGCTGGACGCCGTGCTGCTGTGTGTTGCGGTCGCCAAGAAAATCTGAAGGACTCTTCGTAAATCGCACACGGCCTTTGTGCTGGAACTAGCCCTGCCTTAACAGTTAACATTGGTGCTGGTATTTTTGAGTTTCCTGCTTACTAAGAGAAAGGTGTTTTCGCTTTAAAAGTAAAAAGCACATTGGTGAAAAAAAAGAAACACAGAAGGAAATACTTCTTTTATTATTTTTGTTGACCTGGTTTCAAGTTCAACCGAATAACCAGCTAAAGATTAATCGCGATTGCAGCATTAATTAGTCAGTCTGTAGGTGAATCGATCAATAGCCCAGTCCTAATCTAGATACGTCCCTGCTCTAGATAGGTTTTGGATTAGGCAGAAAAAAAGATGGAAACTCCTGGAGTGGGAGGCATTGTGCCTGCCTGCTTTCGTCTGGTCGGTCCATGCTTTGTGAGTTTGGTATGGATTCAGGGAAAGAAGTACGTTGTCGTAATTTTAGCATATGTTTAGGTTACCCTGTGCCACAAAACTCCACGAAACGTTTTTTTTTCCTCGGAGACGGCATACTTTCAAGTCAAATAAAAGCAAAATTTCATGACATCACACAAATTACATGATGTACGATGAATGAAAATGCCCCAAAAATATAGATCGCGGTCGATGCCATTACAAATTCAGGTGGCAATGTTTCAGTATATCATTTATACAAACACAAAATGAAAAAGCTGTATTATTTGTGCCATCCGAAATATTTCAAAAAGCACTGCTTTTCTTTTTTTCTTTCTTTCTTTTTTTGTTGGTATTTTCATGTTTGACTACGGAGTGGATGACACCGCAATGTAGTCCTCAGCTAATTGCTGTTGCCTCAATAAAAGTAGCATAGAGCGCTGACTTAGGTCATATTTCTCCTATGCCATCAGGGTGCTTATACAAATAATACATTAAACCCCGCGCAACCATAACTAGAGCCCAATACCAATGGGGGAAAAGAAGGTACTGAAAATATCACTGACACGTTTTTGAGGGTGAAAGCGCTAAAACCAACGGACAAGTAAAAGAAACGAACAACACAGAGCGCTACTTGCAACTGAAATTTATTCTCGGAAAACTCAGATATATATACACCGTGATATCGCGACATGTACTACAGAAATGCGACATCACCAAATCAGTGCTTGTCTGTCCGCTATCTACCTTACGAAAGATTTTTAAAACGCCAACGCAGAGCCAAACAGGGCTATCGATGGAGCGCTGACACACGTTCCTTCAACGCACTCGGTTATGAAAAACGCTTCGGATATATCCCTTGTCATTTTGTTTCGGTTACGGGCCAAGATAATGGGGTTGTCAAACTTCGGGACACACCCACATCTGTCACAGTGCACTGTGACGGATGTGGGTGTGTGCCCACATCTGTCCCATGAATGAGTACATAGAATGAATTCCTGGATAGAAATATGTTAAAAAAAAAACTGAAGGAACGCAGTGTTAGAAAACGTACCAGTGCCCCTGTTTCCTTCAGAACTGCTCAGGGAAGGCAGGTTAAAAAGGGGGAGAGTTTGAAGGAATTCAAGCTCCCATAGAAAATATTAGGCTCTAATACCGGGATGGTGTGCGACCGCGTTACAAATTGTTTTTTTATTGTCTATTTAATATAGTCGTCCCGAAGTGAATCCCTCCGGTGATTGCTGAACACTCTGGTCAAATATTTTCCATTGGAAATGCATAGAGCCTGGAGAGCCTGCAATATCCTCTTAAACCCCATTCAGCACTTCAATCATCTTCACCCCTATAAACGCCTTCAGCATTACACACCTTTCAGCCGATCACACCCTTAAGCCTTTCAACACTTTAGACCAAGGGTCACCAAACCTTTTGGCTAAGGGGCATGGTAGGAATCTGTCGCAGTCTCGATGACCTGAAGAAATAGTAAATATACAATGAGCAAAATTAAATAAACAAACGTGGATAAGCATTTTAACGCTAAAAGTATTGTTAGAGGAAGTATTAAAAACAGCATCCTAATGTGGATAAGTGCGTATACTTTAGTACTTAAATTTGAAATGTAATACTTTGTTCATTACGAATTTACAAAAATATTGTGACCAAAAAAGCTCACCAGGTCTAAATCCAAGCGCATGGAAAAATTGACACATTCGCCCAGTAAAAAATACTAATGAGAATGATAAAACTGCGAATGAGAATGCTGAGAATATTCAATACATGTGACAAAGGACACTAAGCAGAACGTACACGAGAACGCATATAAATTTTTACATACTTTAGAGAGACAGAGAGTATGCGACCAGGAGTGATGACGCTGGTGAGAATGTTCAATAATAATTGTGGAAAGAAAAGCCACATTACAATGCAGCTTTTCTCTTTTTTTCTGGTAGATTGGTTAGCTCATAGGGAGCGTTCCGCAGCGACGTTTTTTTATGTGCACTTGATTTTTTGCCAGTAGCAGCGGGTCTGCTGGAAGCGGGCCACGGGCCGGGCTTCATTAGAAGTACCGCGGCCAGCCACGAGCCCATCAGTAGACTTCCGCGAGCCGAATCTTGCTCGCGGGCCGGGGTTTAGAGATCCCTGCATTGGAAACCTGCAGATTACTCTGAAGCACGGACTACAAGGCAGTAGTTTTAACAACTCTTGGAAGCTTATTTTATCAATTATCCTAAAACGGAGACGATCAGACGAGGGGACATACACAGGCAAGCACATACGTCTCAAACATAGCTTTTATTTGTGTTTGAGACATATGTTTGTCCCCTTGTCGTTCGATTGTGTTAGGTTTAATTAGCTTGTTCGGTTAAACCTAACACGTTTCAACGTGTTTGGTTTAATGAACCAGTTCGCCTGTTTAATAACTTGTTTAAATTATTTTAGAAATTAAGTTTTGGGCACATGCTGAAAGTCAGTAAGAAGAATTAAGGTGTACTAAATCCCGGAAGCAATTAAGCAGCTGTAAATAGAAGCAATCAGGACAGAAAAAAACGACGACCAAGTTCTTTGTCAAAAAAAAAATATATTTTTGAGGCTGCTTGGCCAGCTGCAGACTGTAGTAACAGTCTCCATCGCCAGCTTGGAGACTGTATAGTAACGTGACCCTTACCGGAAAAGGATCGGCCGAAAACGCGCATAGCGTCTGCTCTGTCATCAATACCGGGTGAACAGGACTGCTGCATGAACCCTCGTTTTTGCAGAGCCTTATATGAGGGAAGCGTTTGGAGATATATTGTCTTCGATGACCTTTCGCCGTACTTTAGCTCCTCTCAGTCCCGTCCCATAGAACTGACGTCAGGCCTAGCAACCGCCTAGCAACGGAAAACGCCCGGAAAACGGCGCGGGCCTGTCCACCATTACCGCTCCCAGGCCAACGCGCATGCAAGGTCACATGGAATTTATTCTACGCACACACTCTTCTTTTGTAGGTGTTCCGATGATAAAATGGTCGGTTGTTGTGCTGTTGCGTGTTCCAATCACAGCCGTTACGTTTTTTTTTTGTTTTTTTTAATTTTTTTATGATGACGCTGATGAAAGGTCCTTGTTTTGTCGCAGTATACCGACGAAAACTAGCAAACTAGCTGCTACACAAAGCTCGCAGCTGATGTATAATGTTAATAATTGCATCGCCAGTAAGAGACGTCCCGTGACTGCGAAGCTTTTTTTTCCTTGCCTTTTGAATTTATTCTTCAATTGATGCCTTCTACTAAATGTTATCTTTTTTAGTATGGAAAAGCTAGTTTTGTTTTTTTCTATCTTTCATTATTTTGATATAATGAATGACGATAAATGGTGGGATATCAACGCCGATATAAGAGACCAATAAAAAGAGTTTAGATCTATTAAAATGAGCCAGCTTGCAATTCGCAAAGAGCTGCCTGAAGCTCAGTCACTTGATGTTTATTTTGTAACCTTTCGTTTCAGAATAAATGGCTCTAACGTTAAGACAAATGTTAGTGCCGGCGCCGTTTTTAATGCCATAAAACTCGAACCACCTTAATTTATTTTGTTTCTATCTTCGTAACCTTCTGACTTTCTAGATGTTCGGATAACAATATCGCTCTTCCACTGCTGAGAAAGTTCGGTGGGGGCGCGCGGTTAGCATGCACGGCGAGACCATTCCAAATCAGGAGTGACGATCGCTTCGATCAAACCATCTCGTTTGACACGCTGACGCATACTCAAGAGGAAACGAAATAGCAATAAGCAAAGCTCCGGAAACTCTCGGACGAAAGGTTTTCGTCCCATAATCTAAAAGAAAATTTCCTTCGAAAACTCGGGCAACGATGGCATTCTCTCCGCTCGCTTATCAAAACACTCTTCGAAAAGCTTCTCAGCTGCAAATTAGAAGTCGTTGTCGTTGTGCACGGCTAAAATAACAAGAGGCACTAACTAAAACTGAAAAACATGAAATTTACGTTGAAATCTAAAGCGAATACCTCTGTTCTACATTATAGTTGTTGAAAGCACAGCGATTAATAACTAGGCATGGAGCGTATTAGCACAGAGCCAACACTGGCCACAAAATGTTTTCCACCATAAAGGATCGGTATGCACCACGACAAGATAGACGGAAAGAGGTTGGTGTGCTATTACGGTCTCAGCGCAAAGAAAAAAAAACATTATAAAATCAAAGAATTGTGTTGACTGACCAGTGCCATATATGGTGTGCATAACTCAATGTGGTCACCAAACCCAACCGATTATCTGCGCTGATTGAGCAAAACATCAGTAAGCGGCCCAAAATATGTATTTTTCTTTTCCTCCTTTTTTTCTTGGCTTCAAAACTATTTTGCATGCATTTAGTTTATATTTACAAACGTGTACTTTCAAACTATTTCAGATATATTCAAGTTACGGTTTGGCACTTTAATGTATTTCAAAGTTACATGAAATGTATTTCGGGAAAGAATGTCCTGATTACACTTTTATATATTCAGTGTATTTACTTAATATTAGTAAAAGTGCACATGAAATGCATCTTGTAATATATTAGAATTTATTTTATGTAGTTCAACACACTTGCAGTATACTTAAAATGCACTTTTATCTACATATTTTCAGTGTATTTAAACAAAACTTGCTCAGGACAAAAGTACTCGATAAACATGTATTTAAATTATTTTTTAATGTTTTTGCGGGCAAAATACACATTAGATATATTCTAAATGCCTCTAGATATATTTTAAACGTAATAATTTTGCTGAGGGAACTACTGTCTTGGTTCCGGTTTTATTAAAATTACTTCAACACTTAGTTGCAAACCGAAGGGAAAGCTCACTCATTCAAAAAGCTCTATCTTCTGCTAAAGTGAATTTACACAAAAGCACTAAGTTTGTTTCTGAGACTGATCGGGGACCCCCATCATATCAAACAACGAATATGCAAGTGTCAAACATTTACGCTATGTAAGATTTAATAATTGGGTTAAATATACTACGACATAATACAATAAAGTATTACTAGCACTCTGGTATTCGATTTTAGAGGTAGGTTTATCCCTTAGTGTTTTGGTGACACTATTCTGTACTGAAACGTAAGCATGTTCTTTGTGGAATATTCCCTGGTACATTTTCCCCGTGTTTCGAATTAAAAAAAAAAAACTTTCTCAAAACAATACAACTAAGGTATAAACCGAAATATATCTGCAATGAGTTTATCTTTATCTTATATTACTTTTCGACAATAACCGAATAAATAAGACGATTAACGGATAATATTATTATGCGGACGACTGCTCAAGTGGCTTGTTGTTAATACCTTTTCATAGAATGAATAATTTCAAACATACTTAGAATAACAAGACTTGTTGGGTACTTGGTTTAGGATGCTAAGTAAACTTGCATGCGGAAACAGAGATGACGGACATGAAGAATTGGACAAGACAATTGCATACAAGTTTTCGCGCTTGTCCCTGTGCACTCCTTCGTGTTCGTCTGATGTGCCTGCGCATACATGTTTCTTAAGATTCTTAAAACGACCGTTTTTTTCTGAAAAAAAAATTTCCAATGTAGAATGTGACTGAAGAAGCAGTTAACATGCATGACATTGGTGAAAAATACAAATCCCGTTGGGAGAGCTTGTACTGAAAATGTGGCTGACAGATGAAATAATTGCAGCATTTTGGTTCCTACATATTATTTTCTTCTAGGTCAGAGAATTAAAGACCAAAAATAAAAACACGCTTTTCTTCAACGGTGGAGATTTTTTTCAAGGAACAGTATGGTACACTGTCTTAAAATACAACATTGTGGCGGAGGCAATGTCAAGAATGATGTACGACTTTGTGGTGAGTAGAACGATGATGATTTTATTTACACGCATAAACGAGCCACATTTTAAACATTGTACTTAGACATTTCCAGGCTTGGGTAAGGTACATCTAAAAAGTATTTGAAGTAAACTACAAAGTAAACGAGTAGTTATGTACTTCAAGTAAAGTAGGAAGCACACCGGGTGCTATGCACTTAAAGCACTATAAATATTATGCACTCCAAAGAAAAATACATAGTGTTTTAAAATTATATCTAGCGTTTACCCGGGGAATAGAAATTGCATAGAGCGAAGACCTAGCTGCCATCCGAACGTGCAATCTCAAAGAATTCGCCATGAACAATCACAGGCAATTTCTGCGGGGGTAAAGAAGCCATTGCGGTTTCACGTAGAAGTTTGGGACAGACCCCACAGGCCACTCAGAAACACCATGACGGGTCTCTTGTACCATTTAGAAATGTTGGACTGGTATGTCAGGGCCCTTTGAAAACCTGAACAGACATCTCAAACCCCTCAAAATAGTTTAAAGTGTCCGTCAAAACACTTAAAAAAGCCTGGAGCGCCCCATAGGCGGTTTTTCAATACGGGTGAGCTGGTCTTTACGATCTAGTTTAGGAAGAGGTTTAAAAATGAAATCAAGCGAATTCGCTCATTGCGTCGAACACTCAACCAGTGTCTTGCAATAAAGTGTAATGTTATGTTGTTTTGGTGTTTTGTTTTGTATAAAAATCAAACACCGCTCTCTGAGAGACAACTTTCGCAATATATTTGCAGTGCCTTGGCAACCACGAGTTCGACGACGGCCCTGAAGGTCTTGCTCCTTTTCTTAAAAGAATGGAGGAAGCAAATGTAACCGTCCTGGGAACTAACCTTGATACTTCCAAGGAACCCCTTCTTAACGGAACCGAGTTGAAAAGGTCCATCATATACCAGGTGGAGAAGTTGAAGATCGGAGTCATGGGTGTGGTTACTAAAGAAACAATGCAGATTGCCAGGCCGGGTTTGTCATTTCATTGATATATTACCTTTGCTAACAAAAAATATTACGTAAAAAGTTTTCAAAATGATTGTTTAATGCGCCCGTGTTTGTTCGCAAAATGAATTTTATGTCAATGTCGGAAAATCCAGTTAGCACCAAAATTCGTACTACCACCTTGGGTGCGACCCCTTGCCGCAAAAAGACAAATATAATAATTAAAATGTGGATGACTCGACAAAACGTTCACAATAGTGACTTTAACAAATGAAGCTCCCTCAAACGTTCTTTTTCCTGGATGTTTATCTGCAGGACAAACTTCCAGCAGATAAATTTACAATTAAAGCTTGTGATTATTTTAAAGTAATTTTGCACTCGGCATGTATGCATTGGTTGTAACAATAATTAGAGTGTAAAGTAAAAGTAAGTAAAACTTGAGAGCTTACTGCTAAACCAAAGCAGAAAATCTGGCACGCCCCAGCGAAAGACTGAGGAATCATTTCAAACAGCTGGGGATCTTTTCGCGTGCAACCTACACCTCGGCTAAACGGCTCCTTCTGCGCAGGAATTAGGGAGTTTAAGTAGATCGTGTTTCCCCCTCCGCTAACCCTCGGCTACGAAGAAACCGCCAGTGCGCCTGCGTGCCGATGGCCTTGGCTGTAGAGTTTCGGCCAGCGGAGGGGCCTAGCGGAGGGGGAAACACGGTCTACTAAAACTCGCTATTTTCCATCAGATTATGGGCACCCGCCACCTAGGGATCGCCTCCGAGTCACCGAAGCGGCTAAATTAGAGGCACAAAAAGACACATACTATTATATAGCCTCAAATTACCTATATTGGTGTTTAGGCAGCATGTTTAGTCTAAAACAAAGAAGATTAGGAGCGATATCAAGGATTTTGAGCTAATTATACATTGAAGGTTGAATAATAAATGGCAGCTATCACGTTTTAAATGTGAGGATAACTAAAACTAACAAAAGCTGGGCGTAAAAAGAAAATAATCAAGACACGTTATATGTGGACAGCGTTGACAAGATTACGCAGTTTTTTTTCTCGGTACAAATTTAGGGCATCATTTTGTAGAACTACCGCAGGAAGGAATAATTGTATTTTAAAGCTGTTTCAAAGCATGCGGAGTTCGCTGCACCATAAATATGGGCATTATTTACGTTGACGTAAAATAATTATACAAATATTTATACATATATTGCAACGTCTGGTTATCAATTGCCAATCAGCGTGAGACCTTAGTAAGATGGAGGATGAAAAAATGTGCCGCTGTCGTCAAGCCGTTTGTTTGTTTTTTTGTAGTCTGCTGTATTTGTAGTCTGCCTTAAAACAGACCACAACACTGGTAAATATGAGTTATTAGGTGTGGACGCTAAAAGAAATAATACAACATATTCTCCATGGCATGAAATACTCGTCAAGATTCGTCACTGACACTTATCTGTCTTGGTATGTTACATTTCCATGTAACCTCTAGGAAGCCCTACACATCATTTTTTTATTTTAAAATGCAGCTTACAATTGTAAACGCTGAAATTTTTGTCGCCTCGTTAAACCCATTTAACATTTTTGTTTTAGGCAAGATTAAGATTTTAGATGAAATTACCAGTATAAAACAAGAAGTCGAGAAGCTAAAGGAGAAAAACGTCAACTTTTACGTTGTCATCAGCCACGTGGGATTTGAATTGGACAAGAGAATAGCCGCCAAAGTTGAAGAAATAAATCTGGTCGTGGGAGGACACACAAACACATTCCTCTACACCGGTAAGCTTTCGTCATCGAATTGTATTGGTTTTCTTGTGTACTATTCTTATAGATGACAAATCACGCCGGTAGCACCGTTGAAGCTACGACCTGAAATTGTTCAGAAGTCAATTAACACGAGAAAATAGTTTAGTAGGATTGCTGCAAGGTTTTCCAGAAATATCAACATTTCTGAAAACCCTAAAGTGATCGTGAAATGTCCGGTAACAACCGTTATTTTAGTTCTATCCCCTGCTACCCCCTACTTGACTAAATAATGTAGCATTTTGAGAGAAATAAATAAGTAAACAATCAAAGTTTTAATATAAACAATTAGTTTTTATTGTTTCTTAGCTGCCGTGAGGAGCGTTTAAGGAAAGCCGTTCATACAAATTGCCTAAACACACTCCGAAATGTACTTCTCCAAATTTAATTCATCCATTTGTTTAAAATTTTTTCGCACATTTTTTTATTGTTTATAGGAAATATTTCAAAATGTTATTTATTGCTCCTGCGATCATTTTCACGAAATTGAGGGCCATTAAAGTTGTCGATTGTGTGCAAGGTGTGGGGATAATTCTTAACTGACGATGACAGCCATGTAACCACTAAAAACAAATCAACTTCGTACAATGTTTAAGCAGGATGTAAGTACAAAATCAACGCCGTCATAAATGTTCTTATATTTTTTTCGGCTTAGTACATAATGGCGCCACTAATGCTTCCCACTGTGTATGTTTCGATAGAATGTTGTTTCCGATTTTGCAGTCATGCTATAAGCTTTTAATATACAAAATTAAGGTTTCAAAGTCACATATTTTTCTGGTTCATACAGTGTAGACAATGTGATATGGTAAGCTACTAACAATAGCCAGTCTATGACAGGATCAAGCAGATAATTCTTTTTTGTGAGAGAATGCAAATAATTATTTTGTTGCAGTTACTAAAACTATATTATATCATCAATTTTTTTCTCTTGGCGTTGTTCGACATCCTCAGAGTACAGCGTCCCATCACGAAAGCTTCAATTGAGTTATTTAATAGTGCAGATCAGGTTGCTATTCTCGACCATTTGACTATGCTGTTAGATATTTTTAGATACTTCTGTTCTACTCATATTGCTAACGACATGCAAATTTATTCTAAACATTTGGCTTGTTACTGCATGGTTAATTATGTTCCAACGCGGGTTGAAACCGGCAAACATAATTCATGGATTACCCGTGATATAATTCATCGTGCAATAAAACTTTGGTTGGGGCTAGTTGGTTCATATCGATTAAAATGTTAAAAAGCACGAACATACCGGACAAAAAAAGACACAGGTACGACACGGACAGGCGCCAACTTCCAACTGATTTATTGAAACACGAATAATCGTCAATCTCGATCCCAAGCGCCTAAACACATGCAACTGATAAAAAAAATGTTATCGCTCATTACACACATCCTTCAAGAAACACAATTTCTTTGGTTAACAGATAAGGAGATGGCATGCTCACGCATCTGTCAGCTGATTTGTGTATACAGAAAGCTTCGATTAGTTCTCTTTCTATTTTTTCATTCCCTTTCTTGATTAGCCTTGTGCGCTCAAACAAAGGTTCGCACCCACATCGTTTGCAGTGCTCCACAAGATGCCCACCCAAATTACTGCGTACGGCAAGTTTGTGTTCGCGCGCTCTTTCATTAAAGCATCGGCCGGTCTGACCGATGTAAACTTGGCCGCAGCTAAAAGGAATCTCATAAACAGGATTGGAGAATATGGCCACAGCCTTTTCTGTGGATGTAGAAGAGTTGTTTTACTCTGTTTCCCATGTTGGACTTTACATCGCTGTTCGTGAGAGCGTAACCCAGTCAAATGAAGTGGGGTTCTAGAATTCTACGGGTGTCAACTGCGACCATTTTAGAGCGCTGTTAGAATTTTATTTGCAGTCCACGGCCGTTGTTTTTGTAGCGTGTACACTGGCGGAGGTTGAGCAGTTTCGCGTGGCTCCCAAAGAGCCGTGTTGCGCATGCGCGAGGAGCAGTGACGTCACACGGTGCACCGCTGGCGCGCCGGAGCCGCCGCCGCCGCGCGCGCCTCGCGGTCTGCGCATTTCAGAGGGGGACATCATAGCCGCGGCAGACGCACGGGCGCCGCCGCGTGCCGAGCTGAGCGCCTCCGTTGCACAGTATGCAAGTCTGACGCTGCACCGGAGCCGCTTGATAGCGCCTCTCATTTTCTGGGACTAAGCTCACGCTACGTATATCCTGGCATAGCCGAGCTAAGCCGCCGCAATTTTTTAATGAACAATTCTACGTACAAAAGATTGCTATTTGTATTGGTTCTTCTGTGGCACCTGTTGTGTGACATTTATCTTTCTGCCGTGGACAAGCGCATATCGGGGGATCTTGAAGGGATGAATATGATCAAGATGTTCCGCCATGTGGATGATTTGTTTGGTTATTTTGGGGGAATGTACAGCGAATTGTATGGAAAATGACGTGGCAAAAATTGTTATTCTGTTTAGGTCTCTTTCCGGCGGATTGAACTTCACTTGGAAAATGCCTAATGATAGCAGTATTGAGTTTCTAGATTTACAGCTCTTTTTTACTAAGAATCATTTGTGCTGGAGTTATAATCCACGAGCTAAGAAAGTCCACCTTTCTTTTAGCAGTGCCCACTCAAAATTCGTAAAACGGGGGATTGCATCCAGCTGCCTTCACGCAGCCATTACAAAAATGTGCCGGCATAGACTGCCTGTCAGCTTTGATCAGCAGGCTGCACGCTTCACGAGGGCCGGTTACCCAAAGAGCTTAGTGACAAGTGTGTGTGAAAGGCTCCCACAGAAAATTAAACGGGAGGGTGTTAGCAAAAGTCGTGAAAAGACAGGCAAGATGCCAGTGCTATTGATACCATATTTCCACAAAGTGTCCTACAATTTAAAAAAAAAAGATGGCTGTTAGACACAGGGTTAACGTAGTCTTCTCAGCCCCGTGCAAACTTTCAAAGATATGCTCCGCGATGAAAAAACGAAAGTTTGTAGTGTGCTTAAAGAAACATGTAACAAGATACACCGAATGCGTGGCTAAGGTGGTTTATGAGATTCCTTTTAGTTGCGGCCAAGTTTACATCGGTCAGACCGGCCGATGCTTTTATGAAAGAGCGCGCGAACACAAGCTTGCCGTACGCAATAATTCGGGTGGGCATCTTGCGGAGGACTGCAAACGATCTGGGTGCGAACCATTGTTTGAGCGCACAAGGTTTATCAAGAAAGGGAATGAAAAAATGGAAAGAGAACTAATCGAAGCTTTCTGTATACACAAAGTGGCTGACAGATGCGTAGGCATGCCATCTCTTTATCTGTTAACCAAAGAAACTGCGTGTCTTGAAAGATGCGTGTAATGAGCGACAATAATTTTTACCATTTGCATGTGTTTAGGCGATTGGGATCGACTTTGACGACGAGTCGTGTTTCAATAAATCAGTTGAAAGTTGGCGCCTGTCCATGTCGTACGTGTGTCTTTTTCCACCCTGTTTGTGCGCGCCTTTTAACCTTTTAATCGTTAATTCATCATAAGCGCAAAATCAAAATACTGTGAAAAAGTAAAGGACAGAAAAAACCTGGCCATTTAGGAGATAATTAGAACAGTGAATAAATTAATGGAAGAAGCTAAAGAACAAAGGCCAGATTCATGAAACGATCTTGCGCAAAAATGTTCGTACGAGCAAACGTAAGAACAAAATCGTATTGACGAAACGAAATTATCGTAACTCGAGGACACGTTGCGATGGTATGCTACGACAGCTCCGGACGTGTCTTACGCACTTTTTTTACAACCAAATAAACATGGCCGACAGCGTCGCTCAGTTACGCTGTCGCGACGATTCACGGACATTCATTTTTCTACATGTTCTCCTCGCACGTCCCGAATTCAAGCAGCAAGAAAAAAAGAAGGAAGTACTTGAAGCCAACCATGACGGACACGAACGCTGGATTCACAAACATCCGCGAAAGGTTACTAAGGCAACGAATCCACCGACCAAGCGACCACTAAGAGCTAGCTCGGCGAGCTCGGCAGAATATAGGCATAGCAAGGCACCCCGAACTTCTCCGACGGAGCGTTGCTCCGACGGTTCCTGACAAAGATTGGATGCCCACGACCAGCCAGTGGACCCTCCTTGTATGAATACTCTGATTACTGACCTCAATTTTAGATTGAGAGTTCAATCTCTTGTCATCATCTTTTCTAAAGCAGCGGTGGCGAACTCTGTCGTCGAAAAGGGACTCTCATCTATTCTATCTCCTTCTTTTTTGTGATAAAGAGCTCAAATAAACGCCGTATGGATTGCACGCGCAACAACGTATGCGCATTTTATTATTAGTATGCCATTTTTATTCCGACAGGACGGTACGTCAACACTGTCGAGCTATAACAGTACGTGGGAGCAACCCTAGGCTGGTCAAACCTTTCTTTTCCGACTGTCACGTCAACATCGAGTAGCAATTCATAAAGCTTGGTCCCGAAGCGCTTACCAAGACGCAGCCCCACAGCGCAAATCCATCAGTTCGACCAAACGCTGGCGTCCGCTCCAAGTGTAAGCAGGTAAATACGTGGCTCTTGTTGAGAATAGTAGTTTAAACGTATAGTTATTTTACTTCGGTTCGTTCGTGCATCTCCGAGGCCGCGAAAAAAACGTTGCGATTTGTTTCTATCTACGTCGCTTTGCAAACAACGAGATCTGGCCGTCTTTTAGTAACGATGACAGTTGTGTTGACTTCGTAGGGATCGAGTTCGTAGCGCTCGACGAAGGCGGTTATCCCGGCGTCGGCATTCGGGCCCCTTTTAAACCGTGTTAGCGTCGACATCTCACTGCACGGACAAGCCCCAAACAAGCGTTGGCGGAAAGTCTCCCTGCGTTTTTTATTCGCAATTCACGTGCTCCGCGATGCTTCGAACAATGCCGAGCTTTCCGATTGGTTGTACGAGTTGCGCAAGACGCCTTCGCTATAGCAACGGCCCGCTCTTGAGGAGATCGGGAGCTTGGGGGACACCGGAAGTTCTAGCTTTTCCTTTCAATGACGCCGCTTTCCTCCTCTCACTCAAAAACGCGTTCGTTAATACCGATTTCCCATTTTCTTAACTTACGAACTTCTCAGCTTAGTTGTCGTAACCTCAGAAGATTTTCGTAAATCTGACTTCTGTTTTATGAGGTCACCTTACACAACTTTCAAAAAAATTCACAAAGAAAATTCTGAAGGCGTTTAGGCAACAAAAGGAAGCAAGTTGATCAGGTTATTGTCAATAAAGAAGTGTATGACGACAGTATGATAATATGGAATAAATTTATTGTATTCTTCCAATCGGTTTTTCCGGAGGCCGAAGAAAGAAGACCGATTATAATGAACACCAGTGAAGCGTTTCTACAGATGGTTGAGCTGACTATATTAATAGACCTAAATTTATTTAGACTGCTGCATCATTATCCCACCAGAAACTCGGGGTCCATATAATACTCTTAGAGAATTCCTCGATAAGCTACGATAAATTGCTGTCCTTCTATCTTAGGCAACTTTAAGAGGTCCCTAGAAACTAATACTCTTCCTTCTGAATAGTTACAGGCCAAGGTGATGCCTATATTTAAAAGTGGGAATCGTTTATAGATACATAATTACCGCCCTGTATCTCTAAGAAGCACCTGTTGTAATATAATATAGCAGTTAGTCGCGAAACATAATTTAATACCTGGAAAGCAACGAATTACATTATTCAAAGCAGCTCGTCCTAGGTCCGGCTTATCAACGACGACTGAACTGGGTAATTTTTACAACAATTCGCTTTTGCAATGAGCTTAAAAACACAAGCTGATGTTATAAGCATGGATTTTTTTGAACGCATTCGATGGCGTTTTTCATGAAAAGCTAGTAACAAAACTAAAACATATAGAAATAAATGAAAATATCACCATTTCCATCGAAGCAAAATTACAAAATATAGCACAGGCAGTTGTAATTTGAGGAACTTCAAAATACTCCTTAAGCCTAATGCCAGGGGTGCCACAGAGGTTTGTGTTATGCCTATATTATTTCTTTATATTAACGAAATCACCAGAATTATTACACCTCTAATATAAATTAAGTCATTCCCAGTTCACTCTCTTATTTATTCTACAATCAAGACTTCCGACGAACAAGTGGCGTCAAATTAATGTCGGGATCAGATTAGCAAGTCGCGCCGTGATTGGCAACGGGAAATTACCTTCAGCAGGTCATTATACACCCGCATCACTAATATAAATAAGATATATCCTTGTCAGTATGAAATTAAACATATTGAACTGACCAAAGTAGAAACCTATAAGTATTTATAGCGTACCAATACGTCAAAATTTGAAATGGTAATCTCATATTAAAAATACCTGTGAAACAACTTGTCGCAAATTATGCGTGTTCAGACGGACAATTAAAGATGAGACTGCTGAAGTAAGACTCCCAGCATGCAAAACTCCGATACAGCTGACACTCGGGTAGACCTCCGTTGTTTGGGACCCCGTTAAAAAGACCGACATTAAGAAACTTAAGAAAGTGCGAAAACGGGCTGCACGCTTTATTCAATCAGATTACACATCGACTTCTCCAGTTACAAAAAAGCTAAACGAGTGCAGGTGTGAGCCCTTGAGGGTTTGAAGAAAATAGCGAGCCTGAAGTTTCTGTTTCGATTTTTTTTTAATGCTAGACTAAAAAAAAAAATATGTTTATCTTAAATTTGTTACCAATACGTCGGCTCGTTTGAATTGTTCTAAAGCATTACAATGTTATTTTTCTGAAATTAATATGTTATGCACTCTTGTGTTAAAAAAGATAAATGATCGGAACAAACTCTTGTCAGTTTTATTGACGTGTCTATAGACACGTCAAAATTCGAAACACATTTGAAATTATGTTTCGAATTTTTTACTCAAATTTAAAAACATGAAGCTCGACGAAAATAATCCCTGGAGAAGGGGAACAAGAGGGACAAAGGACAAACACAAATCTCCAAACACAGCTAGGTGACTGGTACACGACCAAAAAAATCCGCCTGGTCCGGGTATGAAACCCGGGACCTCTCCATTACAGGTGGAGCGGTCTACCAACTGAGCTAACCAGAAGTTAGACGTCAGTTGAGCAAACGGGTTTTATCGGCTGCCATCAGTCTAACACCAACAAGGGTGAAGCTTGCAATTTAAGGTTATGATTATAATGCAATTAAATGCAAAGGTGCAAGCGAGCTGGACAAAAATGACGAAAATATTTCCGTCATTCTTGTCCAGCTCGCCTGCACCTTTTCATTTAATTGCATTATAATTACAAACATGAAGCGTCCATGTTCTCTGCTACGACCCATGTATATGTCAAAAGATGTATTCATTTCGTTATAATATTTCGTGTCTTTTATGTGTGCGTTTTTTAGGCTTTGAGTTGTGACGCACCATGTGACACGCCTTGCAAAAGTGTTTATGTCTTTCCTTTTATACGTGCTTCTTCATTCTTCAAGCTGCGACGCATCAGACTTACGTTCTAATAAATGTTTTCATGTATGTTGACGGAGATACGTATAACCAGCATGTAAACTATATCTAGTATATTTTTCTGCAATGGCCCATGGGCCGACAGAATATGAAAATAAATAAATAAATAAGAACTACAAACAGAGGCGAGTGCTGTGAAGAAAGGGAAAAAACCGCTGTCTGCTGGTAAATGACGTCTATAGTCACCCTGCGACATAGGAACAATAAAAAGACCGACAGAACAAATAAGTGTCCTTCGTTGTTCTCTCCGTTTTTTAGTGCTCTCACGTCTCAGGGTACTAGCTGTACTAGCATGCATGGATAATTGGAATATTTTTTTTTTCACTTTCTTTTATTGCAGTTGCAAAACCGATATACTTATGAAAGACCTGATTACCGTAAATATATATGGTTTGTTCGCATTTCTTAGAATGTGAAAAAAGCATTTGGCAATCACGAATGACGCCTTCTTCTTAAGTTTAAAGTGCAGGTGTTATAATAATAATAATATTAATAATAAAAATAATAATAATAATAATAATAATAATAATAATGATAATGTCTATTTTTTCATCAAAAAATGATGGAGGGTGACCGAGGAAAAAAAGCTGCATCATGCAGCTTGACGAGTCCCCGGCCCCCATCTCACACAAACAGCAGTGACACAAGAAAAAATAAACAAGACGCAATGGCATTCAAAAAGTAATCGGGCGGCAATATTAACGTTTTTCTTAGTAACATGATGCATACATTGAGAGTTCTATGGAACTATGCATTTATCTAATACATGATACATACCATAGATACATTGAGAGGGTATATACACAGAAAATGCCATACATATATACATTTAGATATATACACAGAAAACACAAAGTATTATACATATCAAAGCTCTGGAAAGTGCTACTAAAAACCACACTCGAAAAACATTTTCGAATATCTTTTCTCGATGACTGAATAGGATCAATATTTTTGAAGCTGAGAAAATTAAATAGGTTTGGAAGCGTATAAGATAACATTTGTTCTGCAGAGGTCGTTCTATTATTGAGTAACTTCCAATTTTGCAAACTTCAAGTTGGGTAAGTTGGCACTTTAAAGCTAGAGAAGCCAGGTCAATCAGGTTAAGATGATTTTTTTTTTGTAGTTCATATTTATAGCACACACACAAACGATAATTATATATACTATTAACATTAATCAATTTTAAGCTTTTAAATAACGGTTCACTAGGGTGGTCGTATGGGACATTGGAAATATTTCTTAGCATTTTGTTTCTTCAACAGAAGTAGTTTATTTAAGTTTGTACTTGTACTATTACCCCAAGCTAGGTAACAGTAGTTTATATGAGAGCGAAATAAAGAGTTTTAAATTAAAAGTTTGACACTTCTTGGCAAAAGATGGCGGTGTCGATACATCAAGCCAACAACACGCGATTGTTTAAGCAAAATATAATTAATATGAGCGTCCCATCGCATTTGATCCGTGAATACAACACCAAGAGTCTTAAAGCGAGTTAGGACTTCAATTTTAGTCGAATTTAAAACGAATTTATCTACGGTGCTTTAATGTCCTTCTGTATAGTTTGATATAAGTTTTGTGGTACCCTGACACAGCGGGAAAGAAAATTCTATCTAAGACTCGGTTTATTGCCAAGAGCTCGTTGCGGCAGGTGCTCCTTGACCCGCTATACAAAGAAAGGAGCGCTGCGAGCAAAGTGGTGAGACGCCAACGTTACAGCCGAAGTAAACATGAACGCCTCCCAGCGTAATCTATTGCGATCCTGTGCATTTAATTATTAGTTAATCTTTTTTGTTCAGGGAGCTTTGATAAGAGCTGGTCACTCCGGTAGCTTCACCGTTTACTCACAGAATGCTTGTTTTAGGATCTTACAAATATTTTTGGTAGTGAACATTTTTTAGGCCCTTCTGGCACTCTTATGACTTGTACTAAAGACCAACATTAAAATAATTGAATATATATATATATATATGTATATATTCACGCATTTTCATTAACATTTTGAGCAGACGAAACGATTTCTCGGTGCCTCCTATAGTGCTTTTGTTTCCGCATATGTTTTTCAGCAACAATATATAATGTTCACTTGTGCATCAATATAAGCTGAATACTAACCGCGACGCCCTTCATGAATCTTTGCGCATAGGCGAGAGTCCCAGGCCTGAGGACCGTGTTGAAGGAGAGTATCCGACAATTGTTACAAAAGATGATAAAAAAGCCCTCGTCGTCCAAGATTACTGGGCCGGGAAATATCTGGGGCATTTGCAACTAGAATTTGACAAGGACGGAAACCTAAAAAACTGGTCTGGCAATCCTATTCTAATGGATAACAAGACTACTGAAGGTAAAACTTTCTTTCTTCCTGTGTGCATCTTTAAAGTGCTAAATGTCCATGGCTTCCTAGTAGGAATGCCGTGCAGCAGTCCGCACGTGGCAGATGTAGCATGGCTTAATTTTATAACAAATGAGCCTTGTCAGTTTGTTTTTGCGGGAAATAACTTTACTCTTAGGTTCGAGTATTCCGTCCCTGGAAAGAGTACCATGGAGCTGGGGCTACGTTGCTGCATGCCTCACCCCAAGGAGATACAAGGTTTCATGGTCTCCAAACAAAGACTGCATTGGTTAATATAACGACGAACGGGTTAGCACTGAAGCAACAGACAGACGGCAGTTTATTGAGTCATCCAGTCCTTCAAGGTTCTCCTCGCTTGTAGTAAGCCCCAGTAGCTCAGCATATGTACCCGTGCCATATAAACAGAAAGTATGGTGCATATAAATTAAGAACAAAGACAAAACTTACAGCAGCAGTGATTATTCTGCCATACGCACTAGAGCCAAAGAATATTTTCTGATTACTAAAACTTCCAGTTTTTTGTTCCGAAGCGGTATTAAAGCGATAAAAATTGCTGCTACAATATGGAGTTCATGTGAAACTTAATCTGAAGGCAAATCTTGTAGATAGTGCCCCTCGAGCTAAGGAACAACCAGCTATTCTCATTTTATGTAGCTGATTACGATTTACTACAAAAAGTCTTGCGAAAAACTAACTTGTCTATCGCCTTACCACTGGTTGAAATTCACTGTATTTCCAGAGCTCCTTTGTAAACAAATCGTCTTTTAATTTTTTTTCTTGTTGTTTTTTCGGAGTCAAAATACAGGCCCTCTAAGCCAATCATAGGGTTAATATGCTTCATTCTTCTGAACATGCGTTCGCTATGGCATGTGGTCACCTTGGAACATTCGGTGACTCTGCGCCTACGAGCTAGGCGAAAAACGGCAAGCAAGTCGACTGAAACATGTCTCCGCGCAAGAAAGAGGAGGTGCGAAAAAAGTGAGCGGGAGTTATCACGTGTGCGACGAAAGTTATTCATGCAGCTGTTATTTGGTTTGTCAGGAAATGACATAATGACCGTGAGTTATTTGTTCTTATTCTTTTAGCGCGTCTAAAAGCATTTATCCGACACAAACACCGTACCCTTCTAACAAATTTTATAATATTTCTTGGAGTCCAACTTCTCGTACGCAAAAAACTAGTAGATTTCCGACAACCGTAAAAAACGCATCTCCACGTGGTGAATGATATTGATTGGGGTGCTTGTCTGCGTAGACGCTGAGCCACAGCATGCCGAGCCTTTCGTGCATTTTCATCCATGTCACGCTGCGGTCAAATGCTCAAATGCGTATATAACTACGTTCCATACCATACATTCTCTTTCTGACATGGATCAAAACGAACGAAAGGCTCGCCATGCTGCGGCTCACCGTCTACGCAGACAGGCACCACCAGAGCTTCGCCCCAATCAACATCATTCACCACGTGGAGATGCGTTTTTTTTTTTTTGCCCTACACGAGCACGGGAGTACGTGCTCGTGAGCACGTGAGCGCGTGAGCTCACGAGCAGGAGCACGTGCACCCGACGGCGGACGGACATACGGACAGGGCTAGCCCCTAAAGGGGCATCCACACGAAGAAAAAATCCGCCCCTTTCCTCCGCGGAGCTCGCGCCACGTGCAACGTAAGTCATTCATTTTTGACGCCTCGTGGCGCCGTTCTCCCGTTCTCCTCCGTGGCGGAGGCGCGGAGGCTTCGTACTCTTAGCATGAGAGCTCCGCAGGTGCACGCGGCGGAGCCGGGGACGGAGTTTCCCGGGTTTTTGACGTCACGACATCCGTCCGCGTTGTTCTCCTTCGTGTGGATACCCTTTAAGGAGCTTCACCCCTAAAAAAAGTAATCGATGTAGCTACTGCTACGACAAGCGGAGGCGCCGGAGCCGGAACCTGACAACACTACGTCATGTGTGCATGGACAAGACAAACTCTTGCATTTTGGTTCTTCCCGCTGTAATTTTCAGTCAGAGCTCGGCCTTGTGGTATTGAAGCCTCTGTGCAAGCAGCATAAAAATTTGCTTACCGTATTTAATCGTTTGTGTGCACTCATCTGCGACCAAAACAAGAAATTAGGACAACAGGAGGCTCAAAACACATAAAATTTTGAACTGACCATGCGATACGACTACCAAGCGCACGCTTCATTCATATCTTTTTATTACTGAAAATGTATTAGACTGGAACATCACGTATGCTGCCTTTTGGGTGGGTCACGCCAGCGAATTCGGAACAGAGGAACCAATTGGGGTTTACAGGGACTTGTAACGTTCACTGCTACGGAATTCTTCGCAGCTCATGGCTGTCCAGATGTGCCTCCGAACACGGTTAAACAATGCTCGACCATGTCCTTCTCTAATTTTTGCGGCGGCCACCTCAATTATAATGTTAAGCTTTCCAAATATACGCCTCTGGTACACAAGTGATCCAGGATATTTAAGGAAATTGCGGTGCACCTTTGATCTACCATTTAAACTTCCCGTATGCAGATTGTATTGCCAATTAATACGCATATCTGGGTGCGACACAGACAACGCTTGCACCATTGGTTCATAGGGGCGTCCACCTACTTCCAGGTAGAAGTCATTTCTCTAAATTTACGTGAACGCTATACCGCTCAGCAGCTGCTGACGTACAATAAGGAACGGCTGCAGCTAAGCCATAACCTGAGCTGCATATTCTCCAGCTGTCATGGAGTGAACCTAATTTTTTTTTAAAAGTAGATTTATGCCGGAAATAGAAAATAAAAATATAAGTTCAAAAGACTGCAATTTAAAAGTGAATTACGCTATTTTACTTACCTTATGGGTCGGCCGGAATTATATGTAAATTAATCGATCAACCAACTTGGTACAGTGCGTTTGGCTTGCTTGGCATGCAAGGCGATGACGACAAAAGCGTCACATGCGTTTTCATTTCAATTGCCTGGAGGTACAGCATTAATTTCCACAGTGCTAAGACTAATTAACAATTTTAATATACGTTGAGCCTAGGTTTATAAATCCCAATTTATTTCACCTTAGCATGAACGAAAGCGAGGGCTATTGGGCAAGAGCTTGAGCACTCCCGACCCTAGTGGTTTATTTCGGTTTGGAAGACAACAAACATAAATTAGTTGTTAATTTTGTGCACATCGTTTGGCTCAAAAACTCGTATTCAACCTGTAAAAGACCAATCTAGCATGAATCCCAGAGGAACACTGACACGGCGCTCGTGTCCAATTTATGCCCGTACTTTATCGTGGTATGCGAGGAAAAAAATCCAGTGCAGAGGCTGGAGTGTGATAAGTACCGAGCTCTGCGAAAAGAAGCTAGGCAAAGCGTTCTACATAGTTCGGTTTCCTTGTCAATTGGTGTGAATATTCACTTTTTCAACACACATAGTCTCTACAAGCTGTGGTAAGAACACCAATCAAAACTGCCAACCTGCAGTTGCAGTCTTTTCTGCGGTTCATGTCAGCAAGCTACAGCCTATTAAAAATTGTGCGCCGTTTGGGGTAGGATTATAAATTGGCTAACAAATGAGCTGATTCGACGTTAAACAGGTGAAGTGTTCTTACTCTCGTGCTGTTCATCCAACTGAATGGCCAGATTCTCACTAAAAATGGCTCTGCTGCAAGCGTACTTGTCGCTCATCGTTACGATAGTTACACTTTCGTGCCGTAGAGGTACAGACAACTTGCATAGCGACTTAGACAACAGATACGAAACCCCCCCCTCTTCCCCCCTCCCCATACTAGCAAAAATAAAAATAAACGCGTGCATTCTAATATTTGAATGTAATCTCTTAGTTGTGGCTTTTCTTCCTGATTGTTCGAATCGCGTGTTCAAGCACAGGGGTTACACTTAAATTTTTACTAAAATAGGAAATGCATAACCCTCCTGAGCTACGTCGTATACGCTTATCCTCATCATGACTAAATAATATTTTAAAAAATTATCCGCTTCTATGGAGCTTTCGAACGCAGGCTTTCGTCACAAAACTCCTTGACAAACCGTTCCTTTATTTCGGGAACTTTCAATATTTAGTTAAGCGGCTTATTCTAACTGCGAGTCGATTTCTGTGCAAATGTTTCTTGTGTGCCATTGGGATGTTCTATTTTTAAGAGTAAGTTATGCAAATGTTCATTTTTCCTAAGTGGGACTTCCCGGCAAATCCCAGGAGTCCTAGCAACAACAGGAATTGTGCCCTGGTATCCACACGACTGATTCTTTCCTATCGTTCGGAGCTCATAACACAGGCAAAAAGAAAGCGAACGGAAAAGAAGGGCATCACACAATCTGTTTTGCTTTCCTTCTCCCTTCCCTGCGTTCAGAAATCACAAACTGTTAAACGAACATCAACTTCATCTTCGCTTCTTGGATAAATTTACGTGCCGTACATCTGAACGTCATTATGCGTGACGCAGGCACTGGAGGCACCAGATATTTCTGGAAAAATCTATTGGGAGACTTCAGTTTAATCAAACTTCACTTTTTAAAAATATGTTTAATGAAGGGGTGTGATATTCCACTGGTGTCTAAGATGCACATAAAGTTAGATAGTCTTGAATGTCATATTCTCAAAATAAGGGCGAGGAAGACAAGGAAAACAGCATACGCCATGATAGGCCATGTCCTGTTTTTCTCGTATGCTTCGCCGTCGTATTTTGCCTTCTTACGCTCAAGATAGACTGCAATAAACTAGTCAGATTATCCTTTCTGATTCACTTGTTTAAACAAAAAAATGTTAGTAGTGATATATATATAATTTCACAACATCATCCTGTATATAACTCCGTATTGACGCTAATACTTTCTGGTGATATTTAACACCAGAATGCAGGGGGATCGAAACCGTGTTTAACTGACGACGAATACGGATCAATATTATTACAATTACATTTGCATAATAAATATTGTACATTGCTTAGTCTTAAATAAAAATTGTGTATTGGAATATATGAGGTACTTTCAAAAATTTAAAAGCAATTCTAGGGTGCTTATTTTCCACCAAATGATGATTAACATTCGAAAACTCACACTCATTGACAGAAGCATCCACAATATGCACAATTACTGTTCTTTTGTCCAATATTGTCGTGGGCTTTTCCCTGCTCAACTTAAGTGCGGGTTTTTTTTTTTTGTTTTTTTGTTTTTGTTTTTTGCCTAAAAGTATGTTAGGTTTTAAAGAAATTAGTAACTACATACATTGAAACTCCGATATACGTGGTATTGGCTTTTTAATTCGAACATATTTTTTTAAAGAGGGATGAGAGTTATTCGTGCGCCGTCTGCAACATGCATACATAAGACTCTGCAGATATTAGACGAGGATTATAATTATCATGGCATTTTGACTAATTACTTGAAAGCTCCTGATTAACTTTCTTAATTATTGGTCTAAGGGTTTATGTAGCATTTTTAGTTATTACGACGAATATTACAGAGCCCAAACTAATTGAAAGAGAGCAAAAATGTATTTATTTAATAGATATTAATTAATCTATTTTCTAGTTTTTTAGCCTAATTTATATATTGTTCACAAAAAAAAAGAAGAAAAAAAAAAAGAAAGCGCCGCTATACTTCGTTTTATCTTAAGGTCCAACCAGATGGGACGTTTTCAGGCACTTCGTCGGCGTGAGCGTCACTTCGCGTCCGGAGCGGTGCTCCGTGCCGATATTTGTCCCTTCCAGATTTCGGTGTCGGCCTGCGCGTCGCGTTGTTCTGGGTGACTTCAAGCGACACGCGCCGACGCTGACGCGAGCTAGCTCCTGAAAAAACGTGCGTGCGTGCAAAAACGCCCCGTGTTTTCGGGGCTGAAGTCCTGACGCAGACGACGCTATGAGCTGATGGCACCCATCAGACAGCCTAAGAAGCTCGCCATCATGGTGTTCGTCATGATTTGGTACGTGTTCTTTCATCGTCAAACCGATCACAAACAGCAAAGGCCGAGTGACTCGCGCTTTTGACGGCGCTCGATTGGTCCGTCAGCTCTAAGCGTCGGCTGCGTCTGGACTTATGCAAACACAAAGCCTTTTTTTTTGTTTACGAACATGAACCGCCGTTTGCGTCCCAAGCGACTTCCGGTCGCACCGTCTTTGCAAGCCTGTTGAGCTTGCTTATGTCACCAGTGCTAGAAAGCATAAATGCTACACAAACAAGGTTGGAGATTTAACGAAGGCCTTCGGCTGTACAAGATTACATCTTGGAGGAGGGAAGTTGGTTTACCAGAATGTTTGGAAACTTTTACCGGATCTTCCGCTTCTTCGTTCCTTTGGCGTTCACTTGGAGAATTGGTAGTTAAATTTTTTATCGATATTTCAAGCAGCGGTGTCGATGTGGGCTGTGTTCTTTCGTTTTATGAACCGGAAGTTCTCTGGGACGTCATTGGACTACCGTCGGGTGGCGTTTGCCATGAAAAGGGTCTATTGGGCAGGAGATCGAACTATAGGGGGCGCTCTGACCCGTTTGTTTTCCCCACGCTCTGTGTTTACTCAACACAAGGCCTGTGCACATGCCGACAGGCCTTATGGGCATAGCCATGTCATCTTCTACAATAGAGCGCGGGGCACAGTTTAATGTAAAAAATACTAACAATCGACGAAGCGACGTTAAGTGCCCGATCTATCCTCGGAGAATGCGAGCTTGACCCACTTCGGCTTTTGTGCTGAGCTGGGATCGTGCATGCTGCATTGTCCACGCAACCCGTAATGAAAAAAAAACAAAAAAACAAAAAAAAAACCCTCCTCCCTCTCGTTGGAGAGCACGAACTGCAGACGAACGCTGACGCCGCGTTCGGTTATGTCGGCCGAGCGCTGCGTCATTGTATTTGTTGTCCCCATCCATGTAGTTGTTATGTTAACCGCTTGGGGCGTCACGGTCTGTCCTCCTCCCCAATAGCTGTGCAGAGTGTGGTGCTTAGAAGAATGACGTAGTCGTTTCAGTCACATAGTGAGGACATGATTGAGACCATACATCACTCTTCCAAGCGTCATTGTTGGCAGGGATTGGGACGCTCTTTTTGTGTGCAATTTATAAATCCGCCTAATAAGTGTATAAATTGATCAATTAAAATCCCAAACACTATTACACTTCCTCAAAATCGTTCAGCAGACCGATATCATGAAGCGTTCGGCGCATGCGTGAAACCGCCATCACTTTAGTTCATAAGAGGCTACCGTCAGTACACGAGACGGCTCGTGCCCTATCGTGCTCTGCATGCGCAGAGTCCCAGCGAGGTCGTCGCTCGTGCAAAAATACTATAGTTCCCGTAATGAATCGCGGCAGCGGTGGCGTATAGTTACACTGCCTGCTGAGATTAGTCTATTGGTCTGGCCTCCAATAGCAATTGTCGTCAATACTGGAATCGTAACATGACCGTTAGCGCCAATAATTAAGAATTAATTCACAAATTTTAGTGCCTTAGCCAACTTATCATGACGATTATCCCCTTAATAAAATGTCGACCAAGGCAGATGAATATGGGTGAAAGACGGCACTCGTCTAAACCTTACCCCCTTTAAAATATTACGTCTTAATATAAAATCAAACACCCTGTATAGTTTTAAATTGATGAAAAATATACGTGCACTCATAAAATTATCACTTTGTCCCAAATATCCTCGTTACGTGTTTTCTACCAGACAAAGAAATGGCTTGCGTGCTGGATTCATATAAGGAAGTAGTTGAGAATGCGAGCAAAGAGTACATCGGCCTCACCAAGGTTAAGCTTGAAGCCAGCGATAAGGTGTGTCGCATCAAAGAGTGCAACACGGCCAATCTCATCACTGATGCTTTCCTTGCCTTCTACGCTGACCGAAATACCACCAATAATACTAAGGACTGGTCCGACGTTAATGCCGCCGTTGTAAACAGTGGTATTGCCAAGACAACCGTTGAACAAGGTAAGACACACGGCTTGTAATATATGCGTGCATCTGTGAACTCTGTTTAAGATCAGAAAGTAAAGTATCGTAAACATGGTTACTTTTTATTTGGGAGATATCGAGCACGAACATATCTGTCTAGCCAGAAGATAGGAGAGAATGCTGCTCTTCTTTCGTTAAAAATTCGAAAAAGACAAAAAAAGAAAGAAAAAACGAGAGAACCAAGTGCGGATAGTGTAGAACATCTTATTTGGACTTTAATATATTACTCTTCTGTATGTTAACTTCGCAAAGAGCAAAGCTAAATTTACAAATGTTAGTTTACAACAAACACCTAGATCAGTTAATTTCATGAGGCAGATTCACACATTCCGCTAGACTATTATTTATTTATACTTATTTGTTTATTTGTTTTTCGTTTGTTTTTTATTAATATAGTCGTTTTTTAGTCTAAATCAGGAGAGGTGTATTCATATTTGCATGATCACATCGAACTTGTGGTGAGCGAAATATACTTGGAAAATCGCTGGAAGTGATACTTATATGTCGCACATGAACACAAGAAAAGTATGTGTACTACAATTTTAGCTCAAATTCACACGCACAAAAAACTAATATTTGAAAAAATTATCGCCGGTAGTACACACTTAATGGTTTAATGAACCTTATTTTTATTTGCAAAAAGCAGATGCCCTAGTTAATCAAATGGCAAACGTTAGAGTAGTTAACAACACACACTGGAAGATCATTTCACTCTTGAATGGCTTCAACAAAAAAAAATATATTTGTTGAAAATATATTCTTTGCTTTCGTATGTTGTTTCACATTTTCGTGCTTTAGTCTACGCGCTCACCTGGGCACTTTTGTATATGCTGTTCCGTGTTGATTTCTAATTGTGTGTTATGAATATACTTCAAATCTACAGTAACTTAACATCACTTCAAGTTAGTGTTTATTTATAGGCCCTTTTCGTTTGTACTTGTAAAGTATAAAACATACAGACAACCATTAAATATATTATTAACAAATTTATATTTAAACACTATTAATGTTGGTTTCGGTGATTTAGTTCTTCAAGAAAGACGGAAGGCAACAGCCGGTGCAGCGTTCGAATAAATGTTTCCCGCAGAGTGCATTCGTGTTTTCACTTATATTTTATTTTTCGACATGACGATGACAACAGGCAACGCACCTGCGAATGATGTTTTTGTATAAATTTAGATATACTAATGAGTGTGTGTGTCGGGAGGGTGGAACATATACATATTATCTGCCGTGAAATGAGATTAAAATAGGCACCATATTAGGAGCTCGTATTATCAATAATAATATGCTTTTCTCATAACGAGTAATTATAATTTCTGAAATATCAAGGCGTTGCTCCATTCGTGCCGCAAACTGAGAAAAAAGTAATTCAAAACTACACCTCAAACTCCAACGAAGGAGGCCCTTATACTAAGCGTGCATTTTTGTATGAGTACGACATAGTATCAGTACATATCAGGGATTTCGATAGGAGTAGAAATCACAACAAATTAACAGGCAAACACTATAAAAATAATTAAAATAAGTAAAACTGCAAACAATGCGAAAAGCAGAAACGTCCATATATAATATACAAACAATGTATATATGCATATACAATAGCTATGCGCTTTCCAAAGTAGAATAAATATATACGTTGGCATGTAAAACATTTGTGGTGTATCGGAATTAGAAGAAAAAAACTCTTCCTCGTGGAATTAAAAAAAAATCCTGGTAACATTTTATTCCTGCACTACACGAAAAAAACTAAAGGCTTTAAACAATGACACTTTATGTTGCATCAGTGAGGACCACAGGTTCAGGTCGAAAGCTGTCGCAGCAGTTCTTGTACAAAATGTGCCCAGCATTGTTCTACTGTAGATGACGTCGCTAATTCAGCACTACAGCCTAGCCATCTAGAAGGTATTGAACAAGCCCGCTTCGGTTCTCTGTCCCTATACTTCATTTCACCTTACGTCCAGACGCAGCCGACGCTACACGCTGATGGAACCGATCAGACAGCGTCAAAAGCATAACTTCATGGTGTTCGTCACGTTTCCGTGCGTGTTCTCTCATAGCTGAATGAATATTGAACAGAAAAGGCCTTGTGACTTCCGCTCTGGGTGCTCCTTGATCGGTCCCATTAGCCTGTAGCGTTGGCTGCGTCTGGACTTAAAGTGAAAGGAAGTATAGGCCGACACTGTTCACTTGTCTAGCGTCTCATCGGCAAGACTAACACGCTGAGCCCCAGTGGGCCGCCGCTTCCGTTCAGCGTTGTTTTCTTCTGTCCGCTCCTTTCTGTTGCGAGGCAATGTGAAGATAACCGGAGCATATCCAAAGAGCTTTGTACGTTTATCATAGAGCGGAACCAACTGCTACACTGGCATATTCACCGGAACTAAGTCTTACGCCGCCGATGGTCCAGGACACACGCACAGCGAGCCGGGAACCACGCACGATAGAGATAGAGAGAGGAGAAAATGGGAATTCTCCGCGAAGGAAAGGGGTCGGATTTTCAAAGGTATGTTAGCGCATTAAAACAAAAGAGAAAGGAGGAAAGCGCTGGAGCTTGGAAATAGGCAAATTTCTACGTGATGCAATACACTCTCCCCTCCTTTTGATCCCCTAATCTGGGTACTTAATACTCATATAAACTGAAACAAAGATTAATTTGGCTTTATGATATGCGATGCAGCCAAAATGTATAGAGAGTGCGCGTGCCTGTACAAGTGCGTGTTTAGATGTTACTTCCTTTCAGCGTATTGGCTTTTGACATTATTGGATTTTCCTTCCTGGCTGTTTTTGTTAATGTCTAAATCTTCAAAAGTTACAAACATCAACAGGAAAACGTTGAAATATTTGTTACTAATACCGGCGTATAAAGATATGTTTAAAATAAACGTACACTCATGCCGTAATAGCAGGGTCTGCGTATCCTGCTTTTGGAGTTGCGTTGCATGAAGTGTAACAAATTTAACATTGAACAAGAAAGTATATTCCCTTTGAACTGATAACGAACAAGGAAAATTAAGATATTTGTTATAGCTCCATATTTGTTATACAGGTGTCATTCTGCGGGAGAACATGATGGCCATGATGCCCTACGAAAGTACTCTGTACGTTCTCACAATGACCGGACTTCAATTAACGAACATGTTTGAGCACGGTGCCTCAAAATTCACCTGGTTCGAGGACCCTGAAGGAGCGTTTCTTCAGGCATCAGGTATGACCTCCTCCAAAAACGCATCACCAGGACCGATCAATTGTAAATTGAGCCTCTTTTGCAACGTTTAGTATCGTAACTTTTTCGCTTTACGACACATCTGAAAGCAGTCGAAAACTCTAACATGGTCACTAATGCTCAAAGTGCAATTTACAGCGTATTTACTACACTCTTCGAACCTGAGTGCGTCAATTTTACCGTAGAAAACTTCGGAGAGCATATCGGTGCAATAAGCTGAAAATATGTTGTTAATCTTAATTTTTTTTTTTTTTATAAATGTGAACCTGAGTACAAGGTAAGCACGTTAAACGTTGTGCTCACTGTAACAGCCCGTACTGTGAAACCCAGTAAAAGAGTTTTGTGCATAAACATAGGTTCATCCCTGTCAGGCGAAACCTTCCCTCCAATGATTTTTTTTTTTTTGCAAATGGCCCTTTCTTGTATTCTGCGCCAAAGCAAATACCGAGTGGGAACAAATATATAGACCTCTTTTTCGCCGAAAATACAAACGACGTATTGCCGAACGTTGAAATTTATGCTAATGTAGCGTTAGAAGCCGGAGCATACGCCTAAAATTTTAGAGCTTGCCGTTGTGTGGTTCAATGTTATCAGGGAATTTCGAAATATTGAATGAGAAAATAAAACATGTTTAGTAGCCGACGCCGATCAGCTTATTCCTAGGTCGTCATTTATTTCCTTAAAAAAATTTGAGATCGCTTATAATTTTGTAATTTAATAACGACAAGCTCTAAAACCTTGGCATCTGGTTCGAATCTCTAGAACTATATTTAAGCGGAGCCTGAGCGTTCGTCAATTCATAATGGTTTAGCAGTAAAAAAGTTGTTCTGCTTTCTGCGAGAGCTCTGTCTGAGCACCATATTTCTTAGAGTGTAAGCCTGATTAGTTCGTTTGCGATCAAACACGTACAGAAGGATGATGAGCACCATGGATCGCAGCGACGCTGCGCTCTTGACGCGCTGTTCTTGTCCCACAGGCTCGTATCGTCGGCTGCGCTCTGACCTTGTGTAAAACAATGTTTAGTAACATTTATCGACAAAACCCTTTAAAAATTCACATGGGTGATTATATTGACTTACCAATCAACAGTAAACTTGTCTCAACAAAATTATTTTAGCTGCCATTTGCAATCTCGGGCACCCAGAACAATGTACAACTTTCTTCGAAGAATGTAGAAAAAGAAGACAGAAAATAATCAGCATCTCCGCAAATAAATATTTTGTTTCAAATTTTACAAATCCGCTTATTGCTAAAATCATTCGCGTCGGTTAAAAAAAAACGCACCAATAACGACAAAAGTGTTATATTGTTAACGTTGGGCTGCCTAATACCATGCAAAATTTCATATGGCGTGCACGGGGCGCGTAGAAAAGTTCTCTATATAGAAAAGGCTCACCGGAAAAAAAAGAAACCTCACAGGAGGAAAGCTTACCGGAGATAAGCTCATGGCTAGACCACCAAATATAAAACAGAAAAATCACAACCCTCTTCATTTTCAATGGCGTGGGAGAAAGCGCACCTATGTACCTGAACCGAGCGTTCGCTCGATTGTACTATTTGTTCTTGACTGAAATACGTTCACTCAACTGAAGTATGCTAAATTGCCGGAAATACATCGACTGAAGTACGTTCACTTCGCTTGAATATGGCAACTGAAGCATATCTGCTTGTAATATGAGCATGCGGTCATTTTTCCGTTCACTATAATACAAATATTTTGTAAGTTTACCCTCGTACACCCTATTGCCTAGACAATGAAAACAAACTAAACAGTTTCCACAGAAGGAATATTATTAAGATAACCCGAGGGAAGCGCAAGTCGTGTAACAAAATCCAGGTTTAGTTTGTCTAGAGTGGTACACTTAATTTGAATTACCTTCATGGAGTTGCTCGTACTGCATAAGCTATACCAGGATCAGAAAATTCTGTCATTTATGTCACATGATGCAACGCTTCAAACGCGAGAGCATAGTTATATATGGCGACAGTCACGCGAACACGGTTGCCATAAAATGCAATGAAGCGCCTTACTTTGAAATGGGTATACTGCCTGTATTCCAAGGCTACGCAGGATAGCGGTATAAATATATCGCGACAATATCTTAGAGATACTGATGAGTAAATGTGTATCCGTATCAAGATACATTTGAAAAACTTACTTTTATCTCAGTTGCGATATACATTTACCATGTATCAAATGTGTTGGAATACCCTGCCAGGCTTATCCAGGTACACAGTTATTTGGGCCGACATTTTTATTTTATCTGGGGGGCTTGCCTTCTTCAGTGTATAGAACATGACTATTCGATCTCCGAAGAAGCCAAGGTGGAACCAAACTTACCCTTGTTTAGCCCGAGCCTGGGTTATTTTCCCCCATTCACCAAAAAAAAAGTGTCAAAGGTAAGCTTCAGTGCTGCTAGTTTGGCTGTTATATAGGTGTATCCACATGGTGGACTAAACCACTGTTTTGGTTTGCGGACGGCACATCACGTAATATCTCGTCATCGGTTTGCGCGGTCCGTTTCGGGGCCGCGAACCGAGCAAGGTGGCAATGCCAAGAACATTTTCCGTCCGGAATTCTGACGGCGGACCGCAGCGCTTTTAGAATAATTAAAGGAGCTAGTTCAGGCAACCAATCTACGAACACGTTATTCAAAACAACAGCATTATTTACCGGTGCCAAAGAAGTGCAGCGTTAACTTGCAGTCTTGTTGCTGGCGAGATCGTTCAGCGCATCACGCTTTTTTGTCGCGCGATTCTAAGCCCTATGCCTGACAGAACTTCAACGAATAGCTCGTGAGTTACGCACAGCAGCCGGCGGTATTAGTCTCGGTGAGAGACCAACAGCTCCTTGTACAGTCTTAGGCAAAAGGGTCACATGGTCCTCCCTCGATGGGGGAACGCTCTTGTAACAAATTTTCCTTTAGAATGGAGGAAACTTTCGTCCTCAAAGCAGGGGAACGAAGTTCCTCCGTCGCCTGCATCTCAATATGGCGGCCCCGAATCGAGCAAATCAAGCTCAATGAGGCTTACGGAGGACGCTATGTCTCTTCTACGGGACGAGAGAAGCAGCAAATGAAAGCGTAACACGAGCTTTCCGCGAACTGTATTTATTCCCAAGGCCGACTTCACCCCGAAAGTAAAAAAACTTCCGTTTCGAAAGTTGTCACCTCAGTCTTCTCATCGTCAGCACTGCGCTGTTGAACGGAGACCGACGGTACCCAGCTACTTCGCGCACTTTGCGTCCTAGCTTTTATATTCCTTAAGCCACAATTCTTTCGTCAACCGCACATCACGGAGGAGGGGTAAACCATTCGCGAAACCAAAAGCCGTTCTCATAAAGAGCAAATTCGAAGCAGCCTGCTTGGCTTATTGCATGGTAACCAGAAATTAGGGCTAAGAGTGAAAGAAAGTTAAAACGCTTACCACCAGATAGAAGGGTCAAGCAGAGTAATTGCAATAGCTAGGTGAGGTGACGCTGGCTGCCGCCCATTTTATGTGCTAAAAAATAATTTTATTTGCTCACGTCACTATTATGCTTCGGACCCTTCGGGAACCTTTATTGTACGCACATGTAGATACATTACGCATAGCACTATCATCAGCTGAACATAAACGTTGAGCGCGTACACAAACACGGCACATACAAACATCGATACAACAGCACACTAACCCGATCGCTACATGTGTGCTCTGCGTTTCCGCCTTTTATACTGGTCGTTTTAAAGGTACAGATTTTAACAGGCTGAAGTTGAGCTAGTTGGTACATAATGCAAAAGTAAAGGGTCAGCTAGAACGATAGGGACAAGACACAGACAGGGAGACACAGAGACATACACCCCGCTGACTATCAACTGAGACTTCATACTTCTTCATCACTTTAACACAAAGGTTCACACCTAAAGTAATGTCAATAAATCACCCTAAACCCTTACATTACACTACTAAATTAAATTAAATTATTAAATTTGGTGACTAATACCTCTCTCACCCAGCCCACAAACCACCGACGACACATATCCCTCTTATTCCCTTTCACGGGGCCGTGCCACACTGCAAAAACTGCCTTTCTTTCTTGCTGACCGTGATGGAGGGCATGCTCACGCACTCATCGGCGCTTTCCTCAATGGCCAGGGCCTTGAAAATCTTGCGCGCAAAGGCATCTCTGTGTCTTTTAAAAATGTAAACGCTGCTAAAACTTGGCCTGCATCCGCACTTGCAGCAATGGGCTGCAAGCTGCCCAGCCCCCGTGCACTGCACCGACACCTCGAGCTCCCTGACTCCGTCATTAAAGCAGCGTCCCGAATGCCCGATGTAGCAGCTCCCGCATGACCTTGGAATCTTGTACACTACACCAGTCTGGCACATGGCGTACTTAGTCCTGTGCGCCGTGTTGTAGGTTGGCTGGTGGTTCTTGGCCTGATTTACCCTGCGGCACATAGAGTTCCCTCTGTACGGTGCCGAGCACACAACCCTGACACTCTGCCCTGCAGCGATCTTCTTGAGTCGGTGGGTGACGCCGTGGATGTAGGGGACTACCGCGAAGTTCTCTTGTGGAGTCTGTCTATCTCGCTCGGTACTGGGTGATCGCCTTGGAAATTTTTTTGCATATCGTCTCACATACGGCTCCAAGGAGGACATTTGGATACCCGGAGTCACAAAGCCGGGCCATCTGTTTCTGAAAGCTGGCGTCAGCTTGATGGTGGCATGACTATAGCGCAACGTTGATACGAGTGCCGTGTTGTCTATGCGGCAGCTTTTCTCGGAGACCACCTAAGCAATAAAATATTTTCACAGCATTTTGATTTTTTTCCAGCAATTTCATAGCTCTGAGAGTATTTTCAACGGCTCAGGGGATGAATCTCTTTAAAAAAAAGTAAGCGCTCATGCCGTAATTATTCGAAAACCAATAAACCAAGCCGCTCCACTGCGGTTCCAAGTCATGTGTTTTTTTCCCCGTTCGTATTCCTATTGTAGTATATTTTTGTTTTTATATTTGTGCTCTTCGCGTGCGGCTGCAATTTTCGTCATGAATTAATCTACCCCGAGTCCCAAATAGCAGCCAAGCTTTTTAAATCGACCGCAAAAATCGCATAACCTATCGCGTTCCGATTTTGTACAGCGTTGGCCTGAGGTGGTGCATTCTTTCTAGAAAATTCGAAAAGAGCGAACTTACCTGAGAATAAAGTAAAAAAAAAGGAAAAAGGCTTAACTCGTATGGCAACGCAGCGAATCCACCGGTCTTCAAACCATAGGGCGCCCTATGGTTTGAAGACCGGTAGCTTCGCTGCCACTCGGCATCGGAAAACAGACCGAAACTAGCATAGAACGCAACCAAGCACCCGGCAGCCAAACCTGCCGGTCTTGGACGGAGTTTCCACGGTTTCCGTAACGTCGTCAACGTCAAAACGTCGTTCTGTAATCCGGAGGCGGCCATATTAGCCCAGTGTACGCAGCGCGCTGCTGGGGCTGCTCCGGAACTTCGCTGTTTCTCACGGCTCGTTTGCTCGTTTTATAAAATTAGTGGTAAAAACGCGAGTGCAACCGGAATGTTCTGCACGTTTGGACTAGAAGACGGAATTACAGGCGGCCTTCGCTGCCGCTGAAGCTCAATCATGTCAGCAGCATTTATTAGACAATGCGCGCAACGTGCTCGAAAAACGAAACCGAAAGAAGATGAGTCGGGACTCGGAACTCTACTGTCGTCTGCCTGGAGAAGGAGAAGAACGTCTTTTTCCTCCCTTCTTCTCGTGTCCGCTTGGGGGCGCGTCAGTAGAAGGAAGGACGACGCGCCGTTGCTACCATTTTCCTCTTTTTCTTTTTTTTCTTAGAGTGTAGAGTTGATTTTGCATGCCGAAATATTTTAGGTACGTTCATGTTTTCATTCAACCGGGCCTTTTCGAAGGCGCAAGTCCTCTACCTCGTGAATTCACAACGCCAGAGCCGTTGCGGCGAAATGCAGATTGCGTTTGACTTCCATCTTCACAACTACCTTCAAAGCAGTGCGCTGCTAACTTTTGGCGGGCGGTGGCGTCGAGAACTAGACAGGTCCGCGCGCTTTGTCGTCTGCTCCTCTGGTCCGTCGTGTGAATACTTCCTTCAGCCGGCCGACCCGCAGGCTTCTCATCACGTAGCCAAATGGCCCAGGGACTGGCCCGTCGTGTGGATACACCTTATCTTACATTTTAAAGCCTAAATCGCCAAACAAGTGCCAGAACCAGTTACTTCTGCTTGTTCAATTTTCATGTAGAAACTTTGGGCTAAAATTGCCAAATCATTGCCAAATTTAGGCTTTACTGCTGGTTATTGCCTTTATGCATTACATCTTTGACTGAAGTCTGGTGTTTCGTCAATATTTGGCGAGCTCAAGAAAAAAAAAAAGCATAGAAACGCAAAAAAAAAAATGTACTCTGTCAGTAACCAGCGTCTTTAAGCTAGGAGGCTTTAGACCCACGTTAGGTCCCCGGATTTGACAAGCTTGCGTCGAGTTCCTCGTTTCTCTGGAGAGCTACCTGGGGAGGTATCTCGTTACATTTTGGCGTATAAAATTAACTCTCAGTTTATTACACTAAAATAAAAACTTTTTTTTTCACGCCCCACAAACCTTCTATAGGAGGAAGTGGAAGGTCAAAGTAAAAAACAAAAACGCAACAGCAAAAGTGGTGCGGAAGAAACAGTGTATATATCTTATTCTTGCAATAATATCGATATACTAATTATGCGATTCCTATCCCCACACCCGTACTTCTCGGATTTTTAAATAAGATAGACGTGTGGGCTTCATATACATCTTCTGTTTCAGGTTATTGAGTCACGCTTAGGACGGAATGCTTAACGCGAACAAAGATATATTAAGGATCAAATGAAAAAGTCAACACTAAAAAGCGTCGGCACGGGCTTTCGAAAAATAATAAATATTAAGGAAGAGCACGCCCAGTAATGGGGAAAGGAAACGCACGCTGACAAGACAGCCAGGCACGCGCCATAATTGCTGGAGACCAAGACGGTACAAGATCTCATAAACTCATTTGGGGGTACACAAACATGCGAGGTGCTCAAATAGCCTACGAACTTGCACGTTTTTGAGTAACGTTTCTAAACCTTTTCGCAAAGAAGACACCACCTGCAAATTGCGGCGCCGAAGGCGGCACCCGTCAGCTTAACACTTGTAACAATGACGGGTGGATGCTCCGGGTAGGCAATGTTATGGGAATAGAGAGTTCTTGTGTAGACTTGGCTGGGCCCTTGACTGCCCAAGCCGATCTGGTTTGTCATCCATTTTCCTCCTCGAAAGAATAGGAACAAAGAAGGCGGCGAAGTTTGGTTGAGTTGCCGCAACGAAGAAGCATATGAACAGTCGAATGTAGCTTCATATATGCACATAGGCTCTCCGAGTTTGTACCTGCATCTTGATCGATGGCACGAACGCTCTTAGAACCGCCTTCACATAAAATGAAATGATGGCTTGCTTTTGCGCCTTGATGACTTCATCGGAGCGTCGGTATTGGGTTGGACGCAGTCCGCTTGGCGTCAACGAAGTGGTCTGACCACACTCTGACCTATGAATCTGGCACAAAGCACACGCGACTGGCGCTCGCAACCTACTGATAGCGCAAATCGAAATGTATGGGGGAGGGGGGGGGGGGGGATATAGCAGATCAGAAAAATTCTGAGGACGAAAACGCTGCAGCCTCCCGTACTAATCGCAACATTTCCGCGATTTGGACTTTACTCAGCTTTTCAAGTACCTCCAGAGAGCACAGTGATATCCCAACGAATGCAGATTTTCAGACACACTCATAGTGTCAAAACAAAAACACCTACTGGGAGCTAACGCATGCACGATGTAGAGAGCTTGACTAAATACGAGGCGTTTAATTAAGCAGGCTAGGTCATTTGGTGTTATAAACTGTAATTATGTTTTATTCTCGTTTTTCTTATATTACCCTAACATGGGGGCAATTTAGTCGGTTGCCTGACCCCCCACACAAGCGGGACGGTACACTCGTGGGCCAGAAATATTTCTTCGTAAAATTTAGATTAAAACAAACATGTATGTAAATGTATGTATGTATGTATATTGCAATCCAATATACCACCAAAGTCAGTTTTTGGTGCAAAATGGCTATTTAGTCTATAATGGTGATACCGGTAAAAGCTTTTTTGTTACTAGGCAACTTTTACGAGTCCGCCTGTCAAAATATGTTCAAAACAGTCAGAAATACGAGTGTTGAAAGGTTTACAAAGATCATCGATATATAGTAATAAGCATAACTTATGTCTTGGAACGAGTTCTTTTTTTAAGTAGCCTTTTTACCTTCTGCATATACCGCACACAAATAAAGTACCAAAAGCTGGGGTCGTAAAAGGTTCTAAATAGTTATGCAAACAAAAAGTTACAAGCGCAAACTGCTATTTCATAAACAAACAACTAACGTGCTCCTTCCACATCCGCCGTAATCCCTCATTGTTGCTGTGTCTGTTGACTATATTCATTTACTGATATTTATACGTATAACTTCCTAGGCATGATTTTCGTTAATCGTAGTGTTTTCCACCTTTAATTTTAAAAGACAAGTCAGAGAACCCTTCAAAAGGTCGTAAAATAGTATCAAAAAGGTCACAAAGGACAGTAGTTGAGAAACACTGATTATAATATTGAATCAGCTAATTTAATTTTAAAAGTTTAGTATTGTGAGTAGCGTCAGTGACCTGGAATTTTAGAGAAAGTTTGTCGAAAGAATAATAGATTCTAAAACATAGTTAAGGTGCCCGCAATCTGACAGAGGATTATTGCAAAAAGGAAAATAACTGAGATTTCGCCTGTACGTTAAAGTATTTCGTGATATTCAAGACTCATTTTCAGCTCACCTCTGAGGCATGTCAGGTGCCCTCCATTGGTTTGGCTCGTAAAACACCCAAATATGAATTTTGATTCTAGCGAAGGCATGAAATGATGGTGCCTGAACGTACACGGATCATACTTCACCGGCTTCACTTCTAATGTATTTTCCTTCGCCCTCTCTTCTGCAGGAATACGAGTGGCTTTTAATTTCTCGTATCCAAAAAAATGCCGCGTAATCAAACTTGATATTTTGTGTTCCAAGTGCAAGATACCAAAGTATGAGCCTGTAATGCTGAACGAAACCTACCGCATTGTCACCACCAGCTACATTGCAAACGGTGGAGACGGATTCACATTCGATGAGAGCGTAAAAAAGGAAACAGAAGGTAGGGAACCATCTTGCTTTATTTTTAAAAGTTTAGTAACTGGCACTGGCAAGCAAATGGCGCAGGTTGGGTCAACATACGTCATTTTATTACTTCTGCTCCTTCTTAATGCATACTTTTTTTATTTATGGTACACACCGATTATAGAAAGTTATAAATTACGCTTATGTGCACATTGATATTGGTGAAGCGATATCTAAAATAACAAAAAGCGGTAAAATATTTGTTTTATTTCGGCTTATGTTTTCACATCAAGCGGTGTACTTACCAAGAGAAAATGTTATCAGCATGTGTTTGATTTAATCAATCATTTATTGAACAGGGGTCCTTCGATACCGGTGAGCAAAAAAAAAAAAAAAACACACCAAACAGGGACCCCTGAAAGTCTGCACGACTGGAAAAATGTAACGTATGCGAAACCAGTGTATGTAAACATAACTATGAAATGTACGAGCGATTTTTTTTAAATCTTAAGATATTCCAATTGAAATTTAAGACGCAAGTTGAGTTTACGGCTTTTCCAGGAGGTCATAAAACGGCTGTCTTGCTCTTTGTGAAATTGACACTATACTCGGGAAACCTTTCAGCTGTTCAATCGTTAATGATTAAATTGCAATTAAATGCAAGGGTGCAAGCGGGCTGGACAAGAGTAACGAAAATAATTCCTGGGGAAGGGGAACAAGAGGGACAAAGGACGAACAGAAATCTCTAAACACAGCTAGAGGACAAAACATTTCGGGAAACTCCACAATTCCTCTCGCCGTTACCCACATTGCATCGAGGGTTGCGAGGAATTGTTGAGTCGTTCCGACGTAGGGCGCGCGCCGGCTTGTACACTCCGAAGAACCTTGGAGGGGCTCAAGTCGTTTTCATTTACCACCGCGAGTTAAAAAAGAGCAGAGAAATAATAGCCTATAAGCAGCCTGTCTTGTTATCGTTCTCCTTCGTTTGCTTTCTGAAATCGGCGAAGGCTAAAAAATCATGAACCGCTCCCTCTACGTGTGGGTACTCCTCCACGCTCGGTGAATCGGATTTCCGTGATGCGTAGAAAAGATAAGAGCATTTAGTGCGCATTTTCAGAATGGTGCATTCAGTGTGTTCCAGCTTTAACTCTGATGCTGACAACGCTAAATTAAACCTGAGTTACCAAAAATATTTATTGGTAACGATTGTTGGTTTTACAGGAGTTGTTGACAATGAGGTGGTCATTGAATACGTTCGCAAGATGTCCCCCATCAAGGAGCCTGAAGAGGGACGAGTGATTATGTACGACAACCCCAGACCTCCTAATTCCACGGCGGGCCTCCCAATTGACGCCATCAAAACGACACCTAAGCCCTCTGTTACCACACCTTAACAGATTATATGGATCGAGGCGACAGAATATAGAGAAGCGTTATTATTGGTACACTCTTGAGGTATATCTTGTAAGCTGACAATAATTTCTTTTTTGTAATCAGCAAAATAGGGTCTTATAAAAACAAAATAACGATTTTGGTTGATTATTCATCAATAAAAATAAATATACCAAGCACTGAAGTAGTATATACACTGTAAAATATTATTCAATAAAGAGAAAAAAACTGAAATTTGTTGCGCGAAAAAATGTTGGATGAATTGTTTTGCTTTGATGGCTACCTACTGATCTACTCTGTAGCAAACGGCATTGCGACAGCACACCGCCCGCGCAGAGGTACGTGCATCAGGGAGCGAGCGAGACAGTAGCATACATTGCCCACGAGTGGGCCCTCACAAGGCCACGAAACGAACACGACGAGCTGATCTGGGCAGCTATAATTATAATAATAATAATAAAAAATAATAATCGTTCATTTCTCTAGTGCACCAGAACAACCCTGAGGTTTTGATGTGGTGGCACATACACAAAAACAAAACAAAAAAGACTCAGTGAGACATTGTTCTAGGAATGGTACAGCAGTATGTCAAGATCACGCTTGAAGGAAGCAAAGCCACGAAAAATATCAAAAGATGATGACGCTAACTCGTTCACTAAAATTTGCATGCAAATTAACGGTGTCAGTGTGTCCTTCTAGGACGGGTAGAATAGAGAGTGATTTCTACAGACACGAGCAGGCGCGTGAAAATGTACAGAGCTTAGCACGTCAGCATTACATTGACCGTGGATCACTTTGTGTAAAAGTATATTATCACGCGAGAGTTTACGTGTTAATAAATTTTGTCAGCTTGAAGTGGTAAGAATATATTCGTAATCATAACACCTTCTATTAAAAGGCCTGTCGTACACAATGCAAACAAACCGTTTCTGTACGGATTCAATTCGTGACGCATCAGAGGCCGTCAGCGAGTTTTAGATCGCACTACCAAAAAGAAGTTTAGTACGTACTAGACAAGAAAATAAGCAAATAAGGCATAAAGGATTCTTGAAGTCACGATATAAGCGATATAACAAACCCAGCATTCGCATGGAAGAGAAAACAACGTGTGACATGATAAGAAAAAGGAAGTGTGGCATCAAAAAAGATCCCAAGGGCACGAACCACAGTGTCTTGTGCGATCGTGGCAGAATGGAGTACGTAAGTGTAAGATAATTTATCGCGTTTTCGAAACGTTGACAGAACTTTTGTTTTGCTTGGATTAAGTTGCAAAAACTTTTCAGAACAGCACTCATATACGCGTAGTATATCGGCTTGTTATTCTCGTAGGATGACCGAACATTCATAAAAATCTTGATTTCGCGAATTCGCGACATACCACTTACCACAATCGTAGGATTACCACAGTCGTAGGATGACCGAACATTCATAAATATCTTGATGTCGCGAATTCGCGACATGCCACTTACGTCCACTTTATAAAATCTTTCTGTCATCTATGGACCCCGCGTCGACTGTCGCGAGATCGTGACGTGCCTTCCGAAGCGCCACGGTATGCTTGCGCCATCTGTCGGCCGCCCGGTGTACTTTGCGCCGTAAACAACTTCGGCCGGTGGTCAAGATTTCAGAGCACGTGCTCTTCGAATTCCCAGCCCTCCGTCTAGCGTAATCGAGAGGTAAGTTGTTGTTTTAAAACTGTTTATAGCTTATGTGTGGACCCAACTAACTGTACAAACCACACTTCCTTTTAATACGGAGGTCTTCGAAAAAATAACGTGTTCTGTTCGCTTTGTCGCAAATTTGCGACACTCGGCATTCAGTGATTTGCAAGTCGCAGTTTGGCTTATCAAAAAAAAAATATATATATATTTATTTCTGGCTTGCCACTTACTTTTAATGAGCCATACTTTATATTTTTTAGGTCATAGAAGCTCGCTCCTTCTATGGGAAGAAGGCAATTCCGTATAGGACGCGTTTACCACCCGAAGACGGAAGCGACGACAGCTGCCTAAGTGACACTGACAATGAGGATGCGGACTACAGCCCTCCCCAACAGTTCAACGCCCCCCCCCCCCCCCCCCCCCCCCCCGATAATGACACAGGCGAAGAAAGTGAAGAAGAAGAAAAATCGGTGCCAACTCCCTCGAAAAGAGTGAATCGGCCAGTGCACTGGTCAAAAACTTCATCTCTGTTATACATGATGATTGAAAACCTGAGTCTGTGGTTTAAAAAACAGGAAAACGTGAAGTAGAAAGAAAAAGAGACAGACAACGTTTCAAACTCAGCTAAACACTTTATTGCCTCTACATCTTATATTCGCGACTCCAGCAAAACGGACGCCGCCAAGCGGGAAAACCAGGAACCATTCGGTCCAGGTCGCTCCGCGCCCCTCCGCGTCTCTGGTGGCTTTCGCGGACAGGTGTTGTCGGCGCGATGGCGTACCGTGTAATTTCACGAAGGTCCGAACATTTCCTAAGGTCGTCTGAGTGTTCATTATTGTGGTGAAGCCTCAGTAGATTGTTTCCTTCCATCACGTGTTTGAAAGCCCGTTTACTCCACAACACACGGTCACGTGCTTTCGATTTCTTGGAGGGGGAGGAACCACGGAAAAACTTTTTGATTTCTTGTCTGTCTCGAATCAGATTCAAAGTGACGACTACTTGGTAACTGATAAAGGGTTTCTTTATAAGGATATAGAACAGTGGATTGAGGTTGACAGACTAGGCATTTCACTGGAGGGAACACCAATGTTGCAGTCAAGTGAATGGGAAGGTTCGATAGCTGCTTTTCCTGAGTTTGGCTGTGTTCAATTAGCTTCACGTTTGAGCCACCCACGCTGGTCGGTGCGTTGGCGATTCATCTTGGCTGCTTTTCGTCGAAAAAGCCTCTGGACCACTCTGAAGGTGTTGGGCTGATTTCGCAATTACTTGATTCAGGAAAACCTGCTCGCTGCAAATGATGAATGACTGAAATTATCTGTTTTCAAAAGGTGGGGGACGCGTCTCGCAACGTTAGAAGCTGACACGGCGTTTTGATCTATCGCGCCTCCAATATTTATATTATACCCCCGTCGAAGCCGGCAGCAATATATGTCTACTATGCTCAGGTTGACCGGCCACAAAAAAAAAAAAAAAAAAAAAAAAAAACTTTTTTTTGTTTAGGATTTGAAGCAAAGTTCAATGCAGAGAGGTTCTGCATGAACTCCAATGAAGACTCTCTTCAGTTTGTCTCCGTGCTGCCGGCTAGAACCATTTGGCTAAGTATAAGTGGTATCTCTCTGTTTGTCAAATGGACTTTTATTCGGCAGTTCACCTAATATCTAGTCAACTAAGCTCATATTTCAACCCGAAGAATATACTAATATCGCTTTAGTGGGACATAGTACGTAATATAATACATAACCCGCTCGTTAAAATGACTTCTCGATTGCTACTAAAACCTGAATTGAAATACGAGTATCAGCTGCTTAGAGGGGTGCCGGCGGGTTAACATGCTCCTTGGCCCAAGGAGCGCTTGCTTAATTTTCGTAATTTTCCTGCAGCCTGTATTTGTTGACCGAGCAGACGACTGGAGACGCGGATATGCACAAAAGCTCGATTTCGCGGACAGAGAAGTCGCATGGTCGGGGCATGCGAGTTAGCTGAAAATTACTCTCGGTGGAAGAATTCTGTAGGCATTGCCACTTCCTTAGATGATCAAAACTGATTAGTCTATTACCGCCTCTCCGGAGCCCATAATTTCGGTTTTGAACGAAATCTCCGAAACGAAAGTTTGACATGAAAAGAACAAAAAACACCGGGAAAACAAAACCATGCTTTGCAAGTTTATGCGCACCGGCTACACTTAACCGTCTCAGTTCAAATACCTTTAAAATCGGGCATTAAACAAAAGAAAATCTGTTAAATTGAACGCGCCACCTGTTCAGGCGGCCCGGCCAAGCCGACTGGACCTGGACTCAGCCGCCATGTTTGTTTGGTGGTGGCGCCCCCTATAGGTCGCTGTAGTCGCGAATACACCTCCCCCGGACGTCGAACGTCGCCACCACCACAACGGTTGATCACTGAACTACAAACAGTACACCGGAATGACAATACACCGAACCGCAACCGATACAAAAAAGGCGTTATACAAACACGAACACAAGGTCGTCACCACCGCACCCGGAAGGACTTCGACGCGGACAATGTAACACCAGCACTTGGAAACACAAAAAGACCGTCTCTAACTGACCCCTCTTCTCCCTGAACTGAACTATGAATCACACAGTCGCAAACAATGCCCCCATTACGATCTCGAACCCAACAACGCAAACAACTGGGAAGCAACCTCCTCCCCTTTTGCGTTCACCCCACAGTTACAGTCGAAGAAACTTTTTTGACTCACTTCCCATTCGCAGTGACGCTTGGCTAATGCGATTTCCCGATGTTTTTATGCGAACAATTTTTCGCACAACACGTCTCTCTCCTCACGCTCTTTGTGCACGATTTCTGTCTCTGACCAGTTCGCTGTACATGCATTACACTCTTGGGGATGCCTCGCTAGTTCAGAGTTTGAAGCGTTAATCCGCACATTCCGTTTATGTTCTTGCAGTCTGACCAACATATTTAAAGCTGAGTGATGACGTTCCTCAGTAGAAAAGCCCCGCGCATGAAAGCGAGGCAGTCAGGTCCCCAATCGAGTACTTCCAGGGATTCTTCGACGACAACATGTTCAATCTAATCCTGCAGCAGAGCAATCTCTACGCAGTACAGCAAAACCCGAATAAGCCTCTCGCCTTGTCCCGGGTGGAACTTGAGCAGTTTCTAGGCTGCATAGTCTACGTGTCGATCTTCCAGCAAGCACGATCTCGTTTGCACTAGTCAGCTGAATGCAGACGACCAGTTCTGGCCGATATTATGACGCGCGACAGGTGGGAGGAGATCAAATCCTCGCTGCACTTCAACGACAACCTCAGCATGCCACCAGCCGACACCTCCCCGAGGGATAGACTGTTCAAGATTCACCCGCTTCTAGAGATGCTGCTCCCGAAATTCGAGGAGATTCCTCTGGAACAAT